TAGAGGCGCGCGCAGACACATGGCTGGTAGTTTCCTGATTGCTGTGCTTCTTGTAGAAAGGGTTTCCCTTACTTTCGTCGATCTCTGGGATTCGATCACGGGAGTCGGTGTAGATCTCAATCTGCGAAGATCCCCGTGTGGCATTGTCGATGAAACTGTCTAAAGAATAGGCAGTGTCCTTCTTGGTTTTCTTGCTTCGCGAAGATGCCGAGCTCTGAGCTGCTGGAAACAGGGTGCGAGCAGTGACTCCGACGGCACCAACTGCCTTCTTTCGTGGAGTTTTAGCAGGCGTGGGCAGCATGCCGTCAGTCATGGTGGGTCGGTATTTCTGGAGAGGACGTTGATGAGTATGCGAGAGTTCTGCGGTGGTGAAGGGGTCTGAGCTGTCTGACACATGGTGGTCTTCCAGTGAATGTGTTACAGCAGAGGTTCTGGTCTGGTTTGAATGCTTCTTGCGGGGAGATCCGAAAACCGATCCTGGAGGCGACAATGCCTCAAACTCGTCGCTGCTCTGCTTCTTCGTGCTTCTGAGCCCGGGCTTGGTGTGAGCGGTCGCGAAACTGGGCGGAGGAGTAGTGCGGGACTCTCGTGAAGCCCGCTGACCGGCTAATCTCGTCGAATATCTAGTAGAATACGGTTCATATTGGTCATAGCCAGCTCCATGTCGAGGAGTAGGAGGAATTCGCAAAGTAGAAGGCGGAGGGGGTGTCGTCGCCATTGTGTGTTGTGTGTTGTGTTGTGAGACACGTCAAATGACGGAACTCGTTCCTGCAGTAAAGATGTAGAGTCACACCAAACGTTCCAACAAGATCCTATGACAATAAATCTGGATCAATGACTATCTGTGCCGCTAAAACTGAACACTTGGTTGGTGGTATGATCGAATGACGGGTCGATGGCCGGCTCGAAGGAGACAAAGGGAGGAAAAACGCGCGACTCGCAACACGCACAACCCGACCGAAGGAGCTTCTAATCAATAAGACTTTCTGACTGACGACGCGCAATAAGGAGCGAAGGATGGCTTTAGGTCGAATCAATCGATCTAATGGATGTTAATTCTCAAAGATGAGATAAAGAGAAGGATTGCAACTAAGGGTGGATAGATAGATAGATGGTGAAGGGGGAAGGCCGGTCGGTTGCTTGATGTCGAAAGTGACCAGCCACCGCTAATTATTAGGTAGCATCACCAAAGGGAAGAAAAAGAGGCTGAACCAATTGAATGCCCCACCACCCCTAGAACAATTGGGTATCTACTAGAGAATGAACGATGATGTACCTAGTCTAGAGAGACCTTGATCCGAGAGCCTAACACAATAAACATTTATCGCCGGAGGGATTATCGTTGTGTGTTTATGCATCCCCTCAATATACCTGCAATCCACTACCAAACTAATTCACCACAAACATCAACAATTGTTTATCGAACACACTCAACCCCACTCTTTACGCGTTTCGCATAACACCGGGCTTCCCACAACCCATGGCAGTACGCAGTACAGCGGAGGAGATGGACAGGCTCCAGTTCTCCGATGATGACTCTGATGACCTCTGGAATTCTCCCTCAAAAAGACGAAGCAACAAACCAAGTCACCATAAAGCCCCAGAGGAGCGCAGCACTACACCCGAGACTAGGCCCTCTCACGATGGGGAGACACTTTTTGATCGTCAGGAAGCTCGTGAAGCTGCGTTGCAACATGAATTACAGACGGTCCGGAATATCAATCAAGTGATCGAAGGATTACTGGGTAGTTTAGATCGCGCGAAAGGGAATATGGATGTATGTCAACGCACCTCTTTCTGCCAGCGAAGGGAAGTCCCTGCTAATATACGCCCGCACAGACTGTTGCGCGCACGGTTGACTCTGCTTCGACTCTACTGAACACATGGACCCGTATTCTATCTCAAACCGAGCATAACCAGCGACTGATACTCAATCCCAACTGGCAAGGCGCACTCCAGGATGTTGCGGATATGGAAAACGAAGAGCTTCTGCGTCAACAGGCCGCAGAAAGACGCGAACGAGAGTTGCAGCAGCAGAGAGAGGCAGCAGCACGAAAGGCAGAGGAGGAAGAGAAGAAGAGAGCTCTGGCAGGTAGCGCTAGAGGGACGCGTGGGACAACTACTCGAGGTAAAATTGTCCGAAGCACCGGCCTGGGAAGAACCCCGAGCGTGTCCTACTCCGGAACCAGTTCAAGCACATCAAGAATTGCAGCGAACCGAGGGAGTACTTCTACGACAACATCTACACGCAGGCCAGTCAGTGGGATTGCAAGAGGATCTGGTGTAGCCCGAGGACGCGGGAGAGCATAAACTATATTTCTGATGATCTTCATGTACTATACTTTTCTGAAGCAAGTAAAAAACGCAATGACAGAACATGATACCCAAGCTAAATGCACAAATATGTGCCTATTCATGAATTGCAGTCACTGCTGCGAGCCTGCAACAAGATCATGTGGTGGGCGAGTAATGTATAAAAGACACTTCTGCCTGAGGCGCCAAGACAACACGAGCTAGCGATAAGTAAACAGATGCATCCACCAATCCGATAAGAAATTCAGCTCTTTGATCGTGCTTCCTATCCTGGCTGCACTCCACCTGCAGACATAATGAACTTCGCACCCTATCAAGATGAGTCTCCCGAGGTCGAGCGAGCTCTTTCACCACCCCTAGGCGACGCGAATCGTTTCAAATCACCCATTCTTCAGTCCCCGCGTGGCTCTCCCCCGATCCCCGGGGCGCAATCTGGCGGTCTCCCATCCCCGAGTCATTTCGCAGGCGCAAATCAGATCCATGGCGGCGGACAGGGAAATCAAGGGTATGGACGCGATATCGAAGGTGGGAGATGGAATCTAGGAGCCTTTGAAACAAGTCTTCCGATCCGTATGGACGTTGAAGCTATGCTGGCATATCTTCTTCTCCCTCCGGCGGGTGGGGTATTCCTGTTGCTGTTAGAGCATAAGAGCGACTATGTTCGGTATAGATGCGGTCAGATGTTGATCAGATTTGTGCATACAGCTGACATATGGCAGGTTTCATGCTTGGCAATCGAGCATGCTCTTTACAGTCATGTTTGTAAGTGCATCCGGGCATTGGTATGATCATAGCACTTATCCCGGAGCAGATTGTCCATCTTATTTTCTCCTGGTCGAGCTTCCTTTCCTGGCTTCTGTTTATTTGCGACCTCTGCTTGATCGGATTTCTGAGCATGCGCGCCTATCGGGATGGTGAGTCCTCCCTGCGGATCATGACCGTCGATATTGTACTGACAGGAGCTCAGTTGACACGCTTGAACACTTTGAGGTTCCTATATTCGGGCGTCTCGCGAACTCCTTTGTGGATAATGAGTAGAGTCGATATTGCTTCAGCGGTCTTGCATATCGTGTTGTAATACCCTTTGCGTTCTCTCTCTGTCTCGATGGCGCGGAATCTGAGATGCCTGGCTGAAAATGAGGATCTATGTGCCGCATTCGTTTTGTTCCCTGTTGGTTTGTCGCTGTCCTTACTCGATGTTCCGAACCTTCTGTTCTGCCCTGGTCACCATTTTCAGCGCGCATTTGGCATGACTCTCCTATTATTATGGGCGTACTATGCATTGTTCAGTCTGTAACACTAACGGAGGATGTTTCTTAATACTGACAGACATCTGAAATTCATTCACGGAATCTTTATTTTTTGTTTAAGAGCAGACTTCCGGACTAATAGTCTAACTTGCACTGGCATGAGAGCATCTCGGCGCTGATTCAGGCTGCCACAAGCCTCAATCGACATTCACCATACCATCTCATCTTTCTCAACCGTTGCTTTGCACTGCTCACTGTCCATCACAGGTCCTCAGCATCCGGGAATCATTTACACTTTACACAGATGCTCAAGCCGAAAAGTCCTCACCTCTCCATACGAGATTCATACAAGATCTCCCTCAATCCAGTCAGTCTAAAATCATCTACACCTATCCCATCCACACTAAAACAACCTATCCCTAACTCAAGAATCCATCTTACCAGCCCCAGCAACTTTAGCATGTGCCAAGTCCACCGCATCACAAACACCTGCGGCCACCGAAACGACCATGTCCTCATCTCCTGCCGGACAGCGAAATCCATCCTAGAATCATCACCGGAGTCTCCAAGCTACAGCCACAGACGCAGCCGCCTCGCCGTTCCTATCAGCAGACGCCTTCTGGACGCGGTGAGCGCAGGATCGATTACCATCCATGGCGGTTTCCATGCTTGCACTGAGCCGTATTGTAGGATGGCTATAGTGCGGGAGTTGAGATCGGCGGAGGGCTTTGCGTGTATGGTTCCTGGGTGTGGGAGGGTGGGTTAGGTGGGAGGGTCGGGGTTTTGGCTGGGATTCTGTCTATTGCATGGGTTTCTCGCTTCTCTTCTCAAGCACTGCAAACGAGCGTTCTCGGGTGGGACTGGGGAGTTCGGAGATTACTATCCATCTCACAGACTGAGGATTTCCACAGAGCTTCTGTACAGTTGACTCACTTCATTGCGCAACATGTGGAAAAGATGCTGGTTTTATGGTTTAGGGACATAGGCGGCGTTAAGAGGACGGCTTAATCAACAGATGGATGAAAAGAATCCATTGCTGCCTGGCTCGTTATAGTCTTGCTCAGAAAGTTTGATATTATTGACCTCGTATCAGGGCCAAGCATATTCTTGCCAGGGCATAGACACAAGGTCTGGAAGGACAATCTCGTACAGGAAACAGACATAGTAAAGCGGGAGGGGGAAATAATGGCTGTGTTATGAGAAATAACAGGATGACAAAAGAAGACCGACAGAAGATTTGGGCCAAGAAGAAACATCATAAATGTCACATTCACGACTCAGGAAATAGAATCGAAAGGTTGTTCGTAAAGAAAACGAGCTGGGAAATCGCAGGACACAAGAATCATCGAGGCACAAACGATTGGTATCTTCATCATTAACAAAAACATAACCAAGCATAAAGATTCAAAGATCGTGGCTGCTCGTGAGACGGATCATTCAGATAATTTGAAGGTAGTTACTCGGCACCAAACCAGTACGGCTCCGAGCAGTGGTAATCTCGGCTTCCCACCAACCGTCGTCCTGAAGCCGAATGACAGACAAGACGTCTCCTTTGGCAAATCCGAGCTCTTCAGGTATGGCGGCGGTATAGCTGTACAGAGCGCGTGCTACGAAAAGAATGAAAGTTAGCTCAGGTGTCTGTTGTCGACTAGAGACAGGTTCGAGTGCTGTGGGCACTTCACTACTTACCAAAATGTAGAATTGGACGTCCGTCCCGGCTAAACTGCCTGCTAGGGTCAGCCACAGCCACAGTCCTGCTCCGGGATCTGCCTCCCTGGCTACCACCATCGCCGTAATATGACATAGGCCGACCAGAGTCCGTGCCTCGAGAGCCGTAGCTGTCATAACTGGCGCCGTACATATCCCCACTACCACCGCTCGACAGTTGCAACTCCATACCACCGGCGCTGGAAGGCCTGGTCTGCTGTCTGAATTGGGGTTGAGGAGAAACGGCGCGTGCCGCCGCCGGGTTTGGAGAGCTGCGCCTAGGAAATTCACGCGGGGATGGTGCTGCATCAACAGGCCGCTGAGGCGGAGTAGACACCGAGGGCGATTGGCTATAGCGGCTTCTGACACTGTTTGTCTGATACGCACTCGGGCTTGGACTTGCGCCCCTACTGTAATGGCCCGTCCGGGTCTCCACACGAGCAGGCGCAACCTGCGGGCTGACTGGCTGTGGACTGATCACTTGGGGACTTGAAACTTGTGGGCTGGCGCTGCGTCTCGGAGCAGGTGACTTCGCTCGTGGAATTTCCTGTTTGACTCGAGGAACTTCCGCGCTGTTTCGGCTTGCCAAACTTGGGGTATTACCGCTTCCCCTGAGCATACTCTGGGTCTGACCAGTGTATTTCTGAGTCGTTTTCTGCATTTGCGCAGAAGTAAAGGCGGGTTGTGGCGCATCAAGCCTCTTGACCGACGGATCATTGTATGCAGGAGGGGGAGTCGCCACAGGTGCGTCGCTGTAGTTGGAAGAAGGAGCGGACGGCACAGGTGTGGCAATGCCATGATACCTGTCGGCAGACACCCTGGTCATGGACTGCTTCCCACCGCCTTTCAAATCTGCTAGAGCACGGGCGATAGGGTCAAGCTCCTCCTCTCCAGCCTTGGTCGTTTGAGCAGCCTTCTTGGCCGTGGCCTTGTCTGGGGAAGCGACGTCAAAAACGTTGTTACCAACATTAAGCTGAAAATTCGCCCTGGGGTCTACCGGCTCAGGACTTTCAACCGGCCGCTCATTGTCAAGGACAGGCGCTGGCGCTGGCGGTTGCTGAGGCTGAGGTGCCTTTACTGGAGTGACCTGTTTTGTGGGAGACTCCCATGTGCTTCGAGTAGGTGTGTGCGAGGGGCCAGAATTACGGTCCTTATCATGGCGGCTCTTGCGGCGGAACGGGCTGTTGCTAAAGAAAGCACTTCTTCTCTTCTGGATCTGCTTGTCTCCACCAAGACCTGGGAGCGCAACCCCGTTGGTGGGCTTCGTTGGAGATTGCCTGGCGCTGGGAGGCTCCTGGCTCGACACTGATGTTGGATTAGAGATCTCACTTTGCGACTCACGGCTCGAAGGCCGATAAGCACTGTTGCTTCCGGAGCTACGCTCTGAAGGGGGTCCAGTGCGGCAAAACATGGTCATTCCGTCCGTCGGATATGCATTGTGCGGCACCGGCGCAATCTCTCCGTGTTGGTTAGGGTCATAGTTTGGTGGGAGATGACCTCCCCGACGAAGGTCCAGAGGGGCCGGCGGTTGCGTTGGTTTTTGCGGAGTGACCGTAGCTTCCCTGCTGGCAGGCGTTGTAGGGCTATTGTTATCCAGCCTGGCTGCCGATTCAGATCGCGGCTCATGATGAGATTCGTAAGTTGATGGTTGCGGAGAGGAACTGCGGAATGCTGGATTGATGGTACGCTGAAATTGGGCCACAGAAAATCCATCTTCTTCAGACAGCTCTGAGCTTGTGTCGTTTACATCGCCCCGGGCGAAGTTAATGAACTTGGGCGGATCCGGAATGTCTTGTCCAGTTCCTCTTTCCTTGATGAAAGAGACAATGTCTTTCCCAACTTCGCAGTTTTCCAACGAGAGACGAATCTTCTCACAAGACTGGTCACAATGTCAGCTCCGATCATCTTAATGAGGAGGTTCAAAACATACAGCGTCGTCACTAACGCACACAGTCGACGCAATGTTTGCGTACGCCCAAAGACTGCTCTTGGTGAAATCGATTCGTTCCTCTTCGAGATCTTGAAATTTCTGATAGTCGATTAGCATCATTTCCCCGTGAACGTGTTCAGTGCAGGACGTACATCACAAGCTGCCTTCCACTCTTTATTCCAACGACCGGTAGTCTCTTCGAGGATCTTGACAGCGGCCTCGTACTCGCTGCTGCTGGTTGCAAGCTGGATTTGTGTCTTTTCAAGCTTGGCCTTGTTTTTCCGCTCCTCCTGCCCCATTACCATATGTCCTTGTGCGAGGTAACCCTTGATCCTCAAACAATCCTGCTCGTATCGGTCTCGCGTCTAGTGCCATGTCAATTGATGTCCATTTACAATGCCATTATATAGAAGGCCGAGCTTTGCCGCACCTTGTTCACCGTTTGGGTCTGTTGTATCTTGGTCTTGAGAAGGCGCTCAATTCCTGTCTGAATGATCTTCCTTCTCTCCTTCGATCCGCCTGCAAAAGCAATCAATGGTTCCTCAAGTTCTCGCTTCATTTGCGCTGCAATTGCGGCGTGCGACTTGGCTATCGATTCCGTCTCACCACGGACAACATCGAACGACGACCGCAGAGAGCCTGTTTCGTGTGTTCCTAGCGGCTTGCGGCAAAGTGCCATAAGCTTCCGTGAATATTCATCTTCGATCGCGGCGCGGACTGCACAGTTCGTTAGAAGTTGATCGATAAGGTAGCATCTGCGCTAGATCTCTTAACGTACTGTTGTAGAATGTCTTGAGCTCATCACAAGTCACTTTCGCGCCATGCATGCGATCTAGCATAGGCCCAACACCAGCATCCTCTTTGCCCCAGAAATTATTGGCAACTAGGTAACAGAGTAGTTAGCCTCCGATGGCATCAATGACGAAACTACAGTGCGGGATCATACAGGATAGGGACACCGATGGAGGCTCTGCAACTGTTCCTGGCATTTTTGCAGACAGTAGTCCGTCGAGTGTAACGCTTCACTTCTAGGTCTCTTTCATTCAAGCCTTCAAGAAGGGGTGGGACCGGAGAATATAGTCGCAAAGACGGATATCGCAATGCACGAGATAAGATATCGGACAACACGAGGAGATAAAAACAACACCACAATAGTAACCAATGCGAAAAGGCAAAACCCAAATACTAATGATGATAAAAAGAACAAGGCAGAAAAGACCTTGTAAAGGAATTGGGAGAACTGCTCAGTCGAGCTGATCTGGAAGAGTTGATCATATTCGTAGCATCCAGATTGACAAGTGCTGGAAGGTCGCTATGTTTACTACTCCACGTCTCTCGGGGCAACCGGCGGTTCATGCAGCCCAACCATGATGACTTGAGTCGGGAGTCTCTCGGACTCTCATACGTGTAACAAGGGGCCTATTAGCCGCCCCAAAGAGTTTGATTGGTGTCTTTTGCTACCTTACTTTTCTAAGTAGCATCTGAGAGGTTGCGAAAACGTTGCATAGTGGAATCTCGTTCTCTCCTACATTATCCCTGCATTCGGGTATCCTTGGCCATTCTCTTGATGAGAATGACCTATGAAAGGCCAACAGAAGGGCTGGCCGTCTTTCTTATTGACCACAAAGGTGAATGGACGATTGGACCTATGTTCATGATCGCTTTCATGAAGGTGAATGAGACTCATGGGCTCAAATAGATCAACTTGACGTCACGTGTTATCCACACATTTCCCAACTTCCTTGACTCTCTTATTTTGCTCGTAAGACAGTGGCTCAACTTAGTTAAGACAGATCCCAATTCATCTGCACGTGAAGCAAATTTCGCGCTGCTATCAACCTACTTGACAATACTTCACACAGAGAACCCCCAAGCAGACCGGGTTGGGCTGACTCAGACATTACATCAGCAGTCAACAAGCCACATCTGTCACGTGTCCTTTCGGAAGCGCATTCATTGTGGGGTGTTGCAGAAGGGATGTTAGAGCGACCCCGAATCGTTTAAAATTTTGAAGCGATCACAAGAGATTAATCTGCTTACCAGTCTACCAGTAGTAGCATCAAAAATTTCTGAGCATATAGTTCTTTACATGGTGCCTAGTTTGCTCTGAGCCCTAGATAGTAGTAAAGAGCTTCAGCCTCCCTGTGGCCAAGCTAGTGTACCTCAGGCATCTCCACCTAACCGTCCACTCAACCTCGCTTTCTTTGCCCGTCACTAACTCTCTATTGGAACTTCCAACCTGTGCCACAAAGCGACAACCTTTTTCATTCACCTCTATCTTGCCTACTCTGCCAGCGCAAGATATTTGTCCTTCACAAAATACGACTTCGATATCAATATACTCGCTTTTATAGATTCTGGTCGTCGTCTCGAATAAAATTTCTGTTGCTCGCCTTACAGATCAAATGATCGCGTCTCCTAGATGACCTTCCCTCCCCCTCCCCCTTCCTCCCAATCGTCGATTGCTTCTGGCACCGATAAATTGTCTTCGAACAGGGCGGCAAGGTCACAGCAATCTGCTTGGGGTCTCTCTGCGTCCCAATCTAGCATTCGCCGTGGGTTGACACCGCTTGCGACCAACAACCTTTCATCGTCATCATCGATTCCGTCTGCGAATTCCCGAGGACCAGTTCAGTTGACTAGTCCCGCTCCAGGTGGCTCAACCTCTTCCCCTTTGACTTCCTCCTTCTCCGCCGTTCTGAGCTCCGCAAGGGGTCTTCCTGGTGGACGGAGCGTACCTTCACCTGCCTCAACACCGTCACCTTTTACCGCCTTCCAATCTGGCTCGCAACAGCATCAGCAATCCGGACAGTCACTCTCGTCTCCTAAATTCAGGGCTCACACCCCGTCGTCACATCTGGCTTCCGCAGCAGGCTCTATCGCGGGTGGTGGAGGCTCCGGGGGAGGCGGTGGTGGGACGGGACCTTCCAGAGGCGCCACCTTCTCTCCGTTATTGTCCGGCAACACCGTGAATTCACCCACTGGGTTTCCCTCTGACAAACCGGGCTCAGCAGCTTCTGGAGCTGCAGCTCACGCAAGCCAGTCCTCGTTAACTAAGATATCCATTGCTCAAGTCTTCCTTCTTCTAGACTCTATCACGGAGAAAGAAGGTCGAGAGAAGTGGGAGACCAAAGCCGCTCAGATACACAAGGTAGGACAGCCCATCACCCGTTGCCTTGATTTTGTGCAAATCTGACATGGAGTTAACGTCCTGTAGCTTGTCGAATCGAACGGAATGGAAGTCTTCTCGAAGTATTTCCGGCGTCTTCTGACGGGCAACGCCCCTCAGATCTTTCCAGGGGTCAACAAGTCTGTGGAAAATGCTGGCAATTATCCTTTGTTGGTCCAAGAGATGCAGAAAGTCACCCAGGACATAGAGCAGGCCCAGAAAATCGCAGAAACGGTTGATACCTCGGAAGGAGACATATTCCGCGATTTCGATCTTTCTACCTTCCTTGATCATTTTAAGCTGGATCCTGTCGCTAAGGTAGCCCTTGCACTGGCCTTCAAAACTGCCAATAAGTCGGACTTGCGTGCGAAAGGTTAGTGCTCTCCCTGAAACGTCTTTGATCAGCGGTCACCATCTAATAAGTGTAACCACTTTTAGCCGATGCAATCCTTTCGAACTCCATCACGCCTTTCCTTCAAAGTTTGGCGACACCGTCTGAGGCAACTAAGGACTTCAAAAACTCATTCATTGGGATGACCATTGAGCGTTTCATCCTCTACCCTCCACGCAACTTCACCGACGATGTGAAAGCAAAATTAGTGTACGCAGCGAATCTACGCTACCAGAAATTAGGCGTGGAAATGCCATTCGAGGTTGCCTCTGCTCTACAAATGTTCAATTTCCTGAATCCAAGGTACACATTGGTCCGCCAGCTCCATTCCAGGGGACCCCGGGCCACATCGAACGTCGACGCCGTGAATGAAGCAGTCAATTCAGCCGGACCTGATGCCTGGAACGAAGAACATATTGCCAGCGCCCTCCTGTTCCTGGTTCTTTCTCAGTATTGGCAGGATTTCTCCTTGGAGTCTTTCCTCCGAGCGGTCAAGTCACATTACGGTGACAGGCAGATTAATTGGTCTTTCATTTTCCGAAACTTTGATCGAGAAGGCCTGCGACTTGACTCGAAGCAGTTCGCCAAGTTGTATTCTGTTCTCTTGTCGGCGGCTGCGGATGATTCCAGCTTGGATATCCAGAAGCTTTGGGGTGGCGATTGGGAACATCGGGACACACAAATGTCTTTCTTGACGGCTTTTATTGTTTCCCGAACAGATGTCTCTCAAATTCCCAATCTTCGAGCTACCTTCCCAGCGGATTTCTTCGCTGACGGTCCCGAGCTCGTTCGCTTGCAAGGGGAGCGGGCAGCGAAGTCTCCGCTTCGTTCTCTAGACGCTATGAAAGCCGTCTTTGACATTGCTTTGTTCTCCCAGGCTGCATGGGCAGCTGCGGAAAGTCAACTACTCATCAAGGCCGTTGTCCAGTATGATCTTCCTGTTTTTCTGTGCTCAGCTCTGGCTCTTCCTCAGCCGTGGACCAGCGTTCAGCAAAGCTTCGTTCTCCGGACGCTCGTTGTCTTTATCCTAAAACAAGAAGAGGGATATCAGCTTGCGCTTCATGGAGCCTGGCGCCAGGACCGCCAGTGGGTAGCTGAGCAGCTATTCACCACGTTCACCCAAGACCCAACCTCAACAGCCGCAATCTACGAGCATGCTGTCGAATTTGATTGGTTGGACTACTTGCTTGGATACACAAACGGTCTTGCTATGGATCTGGCTTGCTATGCTCATCGGAAGGGACCCTTTGACCTCGAGCAATGGGTCCGCAATGCGGCTCAGAAAGGACCAATGGATATGGGTAACTTGTTGTCTAAATACCTCAGGATCAAGGCAGAAGACGAATTGCATGTCCAGAGGAAGGAACAACCTGCTCCTCAAATGGTCAGCCTTTCTGTGAAGACTGTCTATACTTTGCTGTCTGTTTTGGAGGAATATGTTGGCGACCGTGAAAATCTCACGCCGGTGCAGCGAATCTGCATTCAGACCTATCCCCGGCTTATCAACTACGGGGAAGGTTTTGACGATATCATCGACGCGAATGGCGAAAACGGCAATGCGTTACCTGAAGCTATTGATAAACAGATGCAGGAGCTTTTTGGCAAGATGTATCATGAAGAACTTTCGTTGCGGGAAATATTGGAGTTGATGCGACGGTACAAAACCTCTCGCGATCCGGCTGAACAAGATCTTTTTGCGTGCATGGTTCATGGACTCATCGACGAGTACCATTGCTACCATGAATATCCCTTAGAAGCACTTACAAAGACAGCTGTGATGTTCGGTGGTATCATCAACTTCCGGCTCGTCGACGGAATCACGCTGAAAGTTGGGCTGGGCATGATTCTTGAGGCAGTGCGAGAACATGACCTTCACGATCCCATGTATAAGTTCGGCGTGGAGGCCATTGAGCAGCTGATCAGTCGTCTTCCCGAGTGGGCCGGCTTTTGTCATCTCCTGCTTCAAATTCCGAGCTTGCAGGGCACGCCCATTTTCCAGAAGGCTGAAGAAGTCCTACGCGAGCAGGGAAGTCAAGTGCGAGACTCTGATACTGGCAGACTAGAGAATGTCGCTGGTGCGTCCATAACCAACGGTACCCTCGATGAGACCGCACCAGACGGGCCCACCCGCAAGTTCCTGTCTATCCATGTCGACCCACCTTTACGACCTGAGATTTACCATGATCCAGACGAGGAGGTGCAGGACAAGATACTGTTCGTACTGAACAACGTGTCGGAGCAAAATATTGAAGAGAAGCTGCACGATCTCACAGACGTTCTGCGAGACCAGCATCATCAGTGGTTCGCATCGTATTTGGTGGAAGAACGAGCGAAATTGCAGCCAAATTTCCAGCAACTGTATCTCGATCTTCTTGACCGCATCAATGACAAGATTCTTTGGGCTGAAGTTCTGAGAGAAACATACTCGAGCGTGTGCAAGCTGTTGAATGCAGAGGGGACGATTAACTCGTCCACAGATCGCGGGCATCTCAAAAATCTCGGTTCATGGCTCGGTTCACTGACCATAGCAAAAGACAAGCCTATAAAGCACAAGGATATATACTTCAAGGGTCTTCTCCTCGAAGGCTATGACAGTCAGCGTCTGACCATCGTGATCCCGTTCACTTGCAAAGTGCTGGTCCAGGCGACAAAGTCCACTGTCTTCAAGCCGCCAAACCCATGGTTGATGGATATTCTCGCTCTTCTGCTGGAACTGTACCACTTTGCTGAACTAAAGTTGAATCTCAAATTTGAGATTGAAGTACTGTGCAAAGATCTCGAACTGGATCATAAGACAATCGAACCCTCCGTCGTTATCCGGGATCGCTCGGCTCACATCGAGGATGCGCTGTCGACAGCAAATATTCCTGAAGGCCTCGAAGCCTTCGAAGACATGGCTCTCACCACCATCAACCAGGGAATGCGGACAGAGAGGTTGTCTCCCGCCGCGATCATGTCCACTCTTCCAAGCTTAGACAAAATTCTTGTTCTACCATCTTCAGCGAGCAGCATGGTTGACCCGAACGTCCTCCGGCAGATTGTCCACACAGCTGTTGAACGCGCCATCGCGGAGATAATCACTCCAGTTGTAGAACGCTCCGTCACGATTGCATCAATTTCAACTGTACAGCTAGTATCCAAGGACTTTGCCATGGAGCCTGACGAGGAAAAGGTGCGACATGCCGCTGGCAATATGGTGCGACAGCTTGCCGGCAGCCTGGCCCTGGTGACTTGCAAGGAGCCCTTGAAGGTTAGCATGACAAACTATATCAGAATGATTCAGCAAGAGTACTCCGAGCAGCCAATGCCCGAAGGCTTGATTTTGATGTGTGTCAATGACAACCTTGATGCCGCCTGCGGAATAGTCGAGAAGGCGGCAGAGGAGAAGTCTCTCCCTGAGATTGAAAAGGTTATTGAACCGCAGTTGGAAGCACGCCGGCGTCATCGGGCTGCCCGACCTAATGAACCTTTCATCGACCCGTCGATGAATCGTTGGGGCTTGTTCATTCCTGAACCCTACCGACAAGCCCCAGGTGGTCTGAACAAAGAGCAGCTGGCCATTTATGAGGAGTTTGCTCGTCAATCTCGTGGTCCAGCAGCAACTCACGTTCAGAACGTATCGACTGATTCCGGTCGACAACTGGCAGATGTTCTCCAGGATTCGTATGCGCAGATTCCTAACCTCTCTACGCCTGCGGAACAGCCAGCTGTACCCCATAGAACTCCACAAGCCCAGCAAGACACGCGTCTGCAGCAAACCGGGCTCGTTGGCGCACAACCGCAACTGAATGGCTTTCTGGAGGCGCCAACACCTCGTGACAAAGTTGACAGCATCATTTCTGATCTACAGCAAGCGGCTCGCAATGCACCCGAGGAGCGCGTGAAGGACCTTGGCAGAGATAGTGCTGTGTTGCAGGAGTACAATCAGGCTTTGCGTACTATCCTTACGTCTCCAAGCGGCGAAGAGCTGGCAAGATTAACATCTCTGAAGATCTGCACAACCTTGTATTCTCAGACACCGAGTAACCTTGAGATCGAGGTACTCGTGCATTTGCTTGCGAAATTGTGCGATATGTCCTCACTCGTCGCAAGATATACCTGGGTTGTCTTGTCGGAAGTAGATGACGAGCATATATTCAATGTCCCAGTCACAGTGGCACTCATAGATGCTGGACTGCTGGACATTCGCCGCGTTGATATGAGTCTCACCAGGCTTATCTGCCAGAAGAACACGGATGCACTCGAAATACTGGCCAATCTGATGGACCGAGTGCTCTTCAACGAAGAGCCCTCTGCATTGCGGTCTGATTTCTCTGGCAGTCTCGAAGCGATGAGCCAATGGCTTGCAGAAGACGCAAATCTTGCTTCCGCAAACGAAATCATCCGCAAACTACGCGAGTCCGGTATCCCTGAAGTCGTCAACCCTCTTCTCAGCGACAAAGCGCGAGCAAAGCGGGATCAGATGGAGTACATCTTCAGCGAGTGGATTGGTATTTACAAGGCCCCCGGCACCACCGACCGTACCTATCATTCCTTCCTCAAAGACCTGCACCAGAGGCAAGTCATGGATAATCAAGAGGACTCTGCTTTGTTTTTCCGGCTCAGCATTGACATCTCCGTCGCGATGTTCGAGCATGAATCGCAGAATCCTAACGGTAGCCTCGATGAGGCTTTCCTCTATATCGATGCGCTTGCGAAATTGGTCATCCTCCTAGTCAAATTTCAAGGAGAGAGCGCCGGCTCGGCCAAGACCAGCAAATCTGTCTACTTCAACTCGGTCCTGTCGATGCTCGTGCTGGTGTTGAATCATCACCACGTTATCCGCGGAGAGACTTTCAACCAGCGGGTATTCTTCAGACTCTTCTCAAGTATTCTGTGCGAGTATTCTCTGAACGGACTTCAGCAAAGTGAGCAGCATCAGGAAATGATGTTTGCTTTTGCCAACAAGTTCCAATCGCTCCAGCCCCAGTACTGTCCCGGTTTCGTCTACGGCTGGCTCTCACTGGTGTCCCACAGATTTTTCATGTCAGGAATGCTGAACATGCCCGAGCGCGCTGGTTGGGGACCCTACTGCGAAATAATGCAGGCTCTCCTCTCTTACATAGGAGAGCAGCTCAAGCCAGCAAACATTTCTTATGTTGCCAAGGACCTCTACAAGGGAGTGCTTCGTATCCTGCTGATCTTGCACCATGACTTCCCCGAGTTTGTGGCGGAAAATCATTTCCAGTTCTGCAATGTCATTCCCGCCCATTGCGCTCAGCTCCGTAATCTTGTTCTGAGTGCATATCCGTCGTCTTTCCACAAGCTTCCAGATCCTTTCAGAGAAGGTCTGAAAGTCGAGCGCCTAGAAGAGATGCGTGAAGCTCCCAAGATTGCCGGCGACATTGCCGCTCCTCTACAGCGCGCCAACATCAAAGGTGTTGTCGATAGCTTGCTGCAGAGCGGTAACCAATTAGAGGCTTCCATCCAGAAGATCTGCGATGCCATCTACAACCCTGTGAACAAGGATACTGGACTCTTCTACACTCCCATCAATGTCAACGTTGTCCTAGTGAACGCGTTGGTTCTATACATTGGTCAGGATGCTGTTTCTGCCGGTGGATCCAAAGGCAACACTCGCGCCGCGTTTGACAGCTCGCCCCATTCGGCACTTCTGGAGAGCCTCGCCAAGGTGCTACGACCTGAGGCGCGCTACTACTTGCTCAGTGCGATGGCGAACCAATTACGCTATCCCAATAGCCATACCTACTTCTTCAGCTTTGCCATTCTTCGTCTCTTCGGCGTGGACAACTCCGAGCAGGATGGATCCGATATCCGTCAGCAGATAATCCGAGTCTTGTTGGAGCGGCTGATCGTCCATCGCCCCCACCCCTGGGGTTTGATCATCACCCTCCAGGAGTTGCTCCAGAACCGAAGCTACACTTTCTTCCACCTTCCTTTCATCCAGGCTGCGCCTGAGGTATGTTACTCTTCGGTTTGATTAGTGCCATGTGCGTAAAGCTAACGAACTATTGATTTACAGATTGGTCGTCTCTTCGATGCTCTTCTCCAACACATTCAGCAACAAAGCCCTAGGGCAATGCCTTAGGTATAAGATCGCTTCTCTCGCCATCTCTGATTGATATGAGGCATTTGATGATGCTTCGATGACCTGCATTCGGCGAAGATGTCGTTTTCTCTCACGGTATATTCAAAATGCCGCTTACGACATTAGAAATTCGGTACTCTACTGGGGTGTATGTTTTCTTAAGGATTTTGTTTTCTTTTCATTCTGAAACTTGTACTGCTTGTGTCCATTATCATTTTACGGTTGGGTTTCTGGGGGGTTTAACTATGCATTCTACGACATGTCAGCGCAGCATACAGTCACATGGAACCAGATGCTTTGCTTTTGTATTGGCTTGTTTTCATTCTGCTGGATGATTCTGTTAATTTTACACTGCAAATGCAGTGCTTGTAACGATATTTTTTAAAAAGGGATGGGTAATGGTCTACATCTACTTCATAGTAACAGCTCATGCTTCCACTAGGCCAACGCTGCCATGACTTGATATCGAACAACTCATTGAAACAAAAATATAGCATGTTCAGTTCTGATACATGTGAATGTAAAGGAAATAGACCAATAACCAATGGACTATAGCTTCCTTCGTAATAGCTGCACATTTGCTTCTAGTTTGGGCGCATAGAAAAGGCCTTTGATGTCCGTGGGGGGAAGCAAACCTCGGTGACGTCGACGCGAGCGTCGGAGCTCTCTAAAAACACAACTCTCATCACCCGATACCATTGCACCTCAAATCCACACCAAGCTTGGTCGCACCATGTCGGAGCTTGATTATGCGACAGATGAGGATGTGGAGGATGGCAATACCTTTTCCTTTTGGCCTCCGGTAAGCCATCGCTCCACATTTCGCTGATGCAACAGCTGACGGTTCGATGACCTCCAGGACGCGCTGGTAGCGCCCTTTCGTGCCCTTGTTTCGAAACAAGCACAGAAAGCTTATCTGGGAACTCTCTTATTCGCGATAACTGCTGTATGCATGTTCTTTGTTTCGTCGGTTGCATATGGGATATTTTACTATTGGTTCATCCCGCAAATTGGGCTTGCGCGACAGGTGCATCTACAGTTTGGGTAGGTCAACGACGGAGATTGCAATTGTCCCATGTAAAAGAAAAATATCGTTCGATCAATTTGACTGATTATTGAGATTCCGGTATCTAGTGATGACCAGCCCTGGGGTACCGCTTCCCTTGGGTCGGAGTTGGTCTCAGCGCAAGCATACGATGTCGCCGTGAAACTCGAAATGCCGCGGACACCCTCCAACCTCGCTGCCGGAAACTTTATGCTAGATCTATCTCTCTTTTCTCGCCCTTCGACGTCCACCACCACTGGCCAGAACACGTCCTCGAATCGGATTGTGCACTCGCGACGCCCGGCTATACTGACGTATACGTCGCCTATGGTGGATACCGCCAGCAAGATCTCTTTCATGCCACTGTATGTACTGGGGTGGCAGCGTGAAGCGGAAACTCTGCGGGTGCCGATGCTTGAGAAGATTGAGTTCTCGCGCGGCTGGCGCAACCTTCCGGCGAGTTTACGCCTTGAGGTCCATAGTAAGGAGCCGATGCAGGTTTACTCGGCTCTGGTCGAATTTCATGCTAGGTTTACGGGGCTAAGGTACGTCAAAGCTGCCGGCAAGGATTCTGAGCGTCTTTTGTACTAACAAAGCAATAGATGGGTCATGTACAACTGGAGGATCTTATCGTTCTTGGTCTTCAGTTTTGGTTTCTGGAGCGTCTCCATGGTCTCTTCAAGCATTGCATGGCTTGTCCTGGCTTCGTTGTGGAGCACGAAGCCAAGGAATCAGACAAATCTCAAGCAAGAGGCTCGCGGGGAGACCCCAATAAAAGAGGAATATGATGACGAGGCGGCGGATATTTCTGCTCTTGACTCGCCTTCTGACTCACACTCTCCGAAGCACCAGCCGACGAGTAGGATTAAAAAGGAAGAAGACTTTGAAGAGGAGACGAAGCCCTCTTATACCAGCGACACAGACGAAGGAAGCCATGGTCCTGGTGGTAGAAGAGACTTTTGGCCTTCTGAGAGTGGCGCAGGGACTGGCATAGAGAGCGCAGAGGCGAGGGGTATGCAGCGGCGCCGTAGCCGTTTATTTAGGGAAGGCCACTCATAGAATGGACGTTCGATCTACGCTTGGGTTCTAGAGAACTCCATGACTTCAAATCTTTGATACCCAAGTAGTTGCGAGCGATGTATATAGATCTCCGGGTGGTGCGGATCCTGAATGTGAAGTCGAACCATTCCCTTACTATACTTTGCCCTATTATGGGGACGGTGTAGTAAGTCAGTAATAGCCATGAAGTTCTTTGGTCTTCAAGCATTTCCATAGTATACGATCCCATTGATGCAGAGGAAGCCATAGTCATTATCACAGGCCTCGGATGCCAATCCGCCTGGGCTGCCCGAAAATGCGGAGTAGAAAGGGGCCCACTTTCGATAAAGAAAATGCCCCTCCATGAGCAATCCAGCTCCTCCACCAAACACTCTCCTCCTCCAGCCGTTTATCAAAATGCACATTTTGGTAAGTTGGACTCTTGCGGTTTCTTCAACGTGGAGGAGCCCAGCTCATAGCATGCTCCTCAACCTAGGTGGTCAACGATGACGGTCCTCCGTCAAACAAATCTTCGCCTTATGTCCATTCCCTCGTCCACACTCTTCAGTCCGCCGGCCATGTTGTATCAGTGGTTCTGCCTCATCAACAGCGTTCATGGATTGGCAAAGCACACTTGATCGGTGCATCTGTAAGACCGACCTACTTCCGGCCCGGCACGCTACATGAAGACAATGGCACCATTCATGACTTCCCCCGCACCGACGACGAGGAGGACGGAGACGAGTGGCTTCTCATCGACTCGACGCCGGCAAGCTGTGTCCAGATCGGTCTTTTCCACTACTTCCAAGAACGCGGTCCCGTCGACGTGGTCGTGTCGGGTCCCAACTACGGCCGCAATACGACTGCCTTATTCGCTTTGTCGAGCGGGACAATCGGAGGAGCTTTGGAGGCTGCACACTGTGGGAAACGCGCCATTGCCCTATCCTATGCCTTTAGCTCGCGCAATCATGACCCTGTTGTGATCGCCGAAGCATCGCAGCACTCGGTGAAGCTGATTGAATATCTCTGCGAGAACTGGGCGGAGGGAGTGGATCTGTATAACATCAATGTGCCTCTGGAGCCGGGGATGAGCAAGTGCAAGGTACTGTACACCAGTATGCTTGACAATAGGTGGACTGGCAGCTGCTTCCAGGCTGTCGATGCGGCGCTCCCGGATGAGACACCCCAGGTGCAGGAGCAGAGGCTGCGGGACCAGGGTGAACGACTAGGGGAGAAGCCCACTGCCGCTCCAGGGACAGGGCCACGCAGAAGGATTCGATTCCAGCATAAGCACTTCCAGTGGAATCCTGATTTCACAGATGTGTGGAAGAGCGTGGAAGCGAGTGGACCGGGCAACGATGGTCGCGCTGTGCGCGAGGGAATGACCAGGTGTGTCCTCTCGATCCTGTCTCATATTTTATCCTGTATTGGCTCGTAGCTGACTCTTTGGGTTCAGTGTTACCCCTCTCAAGGCCACCTTCATGCGTACACCAGGCATCCAAGGCGAAATTAAACTGTGAGTGAATCCTATTGACCAGCGGATCTGCGTCTAAATAGATCCAGCTAGATCATGAGCGTGTCGCGTTGTTCGATATACGACCTTGATCATGACCTTCGTGTCTTTTGGCTCCCCTCTAGCGTTCTCCCTGTTTGCTTCAATTTATGGTCCAAGGTCGTATTTTAGAAGACATGCATTCTAATCAGCCTAGACTCTGTAGCTCTGATAATGATGAACCTGCATTCTATTCCATCGTGGATAGCGACGACCCTTACGTGCAGAGCCTGATGGAACAAGCCTTACAGCGTCGCCTTCGCAAAGGACAGTATCAAATCATATCGAGGCTGTCCGATCTTCCTTCCCTCTCCGCCCCTCTCTTTCAATATCGCGAGTACGAGCGGCTGGACTTTGAGCATGCGATGATGAACTCGTCTACCTCCTTGGTCAACGCTTATATCATCCGGAAGGCGCTGATTCGCAAGCACTACCTCTCCAACACAGTGGCCACCTGGGTCACCAAACACCCCGACAGCGTCCTACGGAACCATTTCAAATTCGCGTACGACTTCGAGCTAGACTACGCCGAGTTCCTCGACGAAGCCCTGCTCGAGGCATACGAGCTCCGCGAGAGCCTGGACAGGAACGAAGGCAAGCCGGATTCAGAGAAGGAATGGTGGATTCTGAAAGCAGGAATGAGTGACCGCGGACAAGGCATCCGTCTGTTCAACAGCGAGGATCAACTACGCGAGATATTTGAAGAATGGGAGGAGGACGACTCGGATGATGAAAGCGAACCCGAGAACCCAGATCCCGAGGACCGGGATGGAGACGGGGACGGACAAGGCGTCGTTACCTCCCAGCTACGCCACTTCATCGCCCAACCCTACATCGACCCTCCCCTCCTTCTACCTTCCTCGTCGAACCGCAAGTTCCACATCCGCACTTACGTGCTTGCTGTCGGCTCATTGAAAGTCTACGTCTACAAGGAGATGCTGGCTCTCTTCGCTGCGAAACCATACTGTCCTCCATGGGAGGACGAAGACGAGGTCATCGATCTAGCCAGACACCTCACAAACACCTGTTTCCAAGAGGGCGGCAGCACCAACGAAGGAAGCGTCCGACGGTTCTGGGACCTGGATCACCATGTACCCGGGTTGAGCCACGACTGGAAAGAGAAGATATTCGACCAGATCTGCGCCGTCACCGGAGAGGTCTTCGAGGCGGCCGCACGAGGCATGATGGTTCATTTCCAGACCCTACCAAACGCCTTTGAGCTCTTCGGCGTCGATTTCCTCGTCGACAAGGATGGTGTGCCGTGGCTGCTGGAACTGAATGCTTATCCAGACTTTGGTCAGACTGGCGAAAAGCTGAAGGACCTCGTTGTTGGCCGTCTCTTTGAGGAGACAGTCGAGGTTGCCGTCAAACCTTTCTTCGGTATGGGTGATTCATCAGTAAAAGGAACAAGTGACTTGAGACTGGCTGCCGACCTCGAACTGGGCAGAAAAGCTTAAAAGCAGGGCAGGTACCCCGAAAGCATGGGGTCTCAGTACATACGAAGATCGTCTTCATCGAGGTCTGGTCATATCTCATCATAGATCCATCTGGACAGGATCACGGAGGTTTTTAGAAGGAACGAATTCTAAAGCGGCGTCCTTAATTAAAGTTATTTGTAGTCTATATATCTCGGTTAGAAGTTAGCCGTATCTTTTCTTGCTTCCGTCTTTGTAAAGTCTGTCGCTCTGTCCCCACTCGACCAGAAGCACATGGATCAGGTATTAATAGCATAGTCTTAGAAATTCAACCATAACGAGGCTCCTGGTGTCAGGTGTGATCGATATCAGTGGTCAAGCCGATGCCTGCAGGCTCACTTTTCGTTCCCTTTCTACGACTAATGGCCTCCTTCCTCGACCTTTTCCCTCTCTTCCGTGCTTTCTTCGGGTATGCGATAATGACCCTGTCGCTTGCTTGTTGTGATCCAGTCGTGGATTGACTACTACCACCCTCAGCTGCATGGTTCCGATGCTTCGTGGATGCGGCAGGCCGGGGACTCTCGTTCTCATCGGTAATGGGGAAGCTTGGAACAGCGCTCTTTGCCATCTGTGAGTTGACAGTCCGCGATAAGACTCCTTCTTCATCTAAGCCTTGATATTGTAATTCCTTCAGGCCCAACTCTTGCTGACGCTCGATCTGCTGGTCCCTGTTTCCGTCGAGCTGCTGCATGACGATGCGTTGCTGCGCAATAGGAATGAACTCGGGTGCGTCAGGCTTCCACTCACTCTTCCGGAATGGTTTCTTGCCGTGCAATCTGATATCCGAAGAATGATCGACGAACTGAATATGTTGCGCTTCACCTTGGTCCTCGTGCTGGGCTTTGGAATTGGTAAGCTTGTGACGCAGCTTGGCAATACGCAAAGCAGGTATTTCATCTCCAAGGCTTTGTTCATAATCATTCCCAACAATATCGTCCGTGCCTTCTGCTTGAACCTCCTCTTCAATACCTTGTAGAGCCGAATGTGGTTGCAATCGTCTGCTCGAAACTGCTCCCATTGGTGGTCTCCGTCTAGGCTGACGTGACTGAAGACTATTCTGTGAGTGATCGCTTTCTTGTGTAGTTGCACCGTAATTCATACTTTCGCCTTGTCTGTTATATATGGCGTCACAACACGCATCACCATCGGAGATCAGTGAAGCAGTTGCTTCTGGATCAGACTCGCAGTGGCAGGGTACCGTCCAAGATCCAACGACGACGCAGACAAGCAGCACAAGGCTGACAAAACGAGTCGCACGAATGGATATAAGAAAGGCGGCCATTATTTTCCCTACGTGCGTGGGATAAACAGACGATGTAAGCAGAGACAGCTCCGGGACCAAATATAGAAGAGAACAACCTCCGAGGGAGATACGTAGGACTCCTCTTGGCTTCAAATAAACCAGCAGTAAGATATACCAAAAGATCACTGAGCCTAACAGATATACCTAGTATAAGAAATCCGCGTTAGTCCGGTAGGGTATCTCTAGGGATGCATTCAAAAAGGTCCTTACAGTGCCTTCGACCCAGGTTATTACGGTTCGCAGGAAAGGTACGACGGACACACAAAATAATTCCCAGGCCTGGCGGGTCAGCGTTCCACAATGAAAACTTGATGAGCTCTAACTGAACTGAGGGGCTGCCTTACATAGGTCAAGATGATCACTCCCATGAGGAATTCCGTGAATACATAGAGAAGCCTACACCTTGTGTCGTTCAGATAGTCTCTAGGGCGCGAGGCGAGAATCTCAGTCTTCGCAGAGAGGATGTAGAACATGCCCGCAGCCAACGGCAGAGAGCAAAGGATCGCCGCAACTGCCTGAGGGCTGAGGTTTCCTAGGCGATAAATCGAGGAGGCCATACTGAAGGGCTGGGCGAGCAGGCGGAGAGGTTAAATATGACAAACGTAGGACAGCGGTGGTATTTCAGCAAACCCTGACCTGCAAAAGCGAATGAGAGCTGATATAGGTTGGTGAGGACGATGGTGAGGATGATGAAGGACACGCAAAGTAGCTCTGTCAGAGACGCCTTCCTTTTTAGGATGACGAGTGACGCTTCCCTAGAGAGGAAAGGGCTATGGGTCAAAGGATTCCTCACGATCAAGAGTAAGGCATCGATGGAACATTTCTATGAGCATCCAGATGACGAGGGACTGAAGAAGTGGCATGGTCATTACAGCAACATCTATCGAGGATCATCGCCGTTTAGCTTGTGGTCGGTCAAATGTAGGCTAATCAGCAGCTATATCTTCTCCAAGAAAACAGTCTCGTACATGAGTCCACGACTGATGAGTTGGAAAGCGGGGAACATGGCACGCTCGACGCTTAAGATGAAGTAACATGACAGGACTTCATATGAGGAACATGCTCCAATAAGCTCAACAATCATGAAACATTCCTAGTAAAAGCTCAGCCAAACCGTTGTTTAGCCAATGTTTTGAGCCATCCAATGGTCTCCTCTTCCTTTTTCCGATATTGTTGAAGTCGCTCTTCGCGCTCCGCTGCTCGAGCTCGCAGTATCTCTTCCCTTCTGATTTCACGCTCGTTCTTCTTTCGTTGCTCTCTAGCCTGTGCCTTTTTTATGGCATCTAGCTCGTTCTCGCCGGAGCCCATAAGTTCGTCATCTGGTGCTGCCTCTATGGGTGAGGCACCTCGCCGTGATTCAGCGAATGCACGGTTCGCTGCGGCCGCCTCTCGACGCTTCTCCATGCGTCTTTCATGCGTTCCAGGCTCGGCGCGCGGTGCAATCTCGTCCTCTATTTGCCGCATCTCAGACTTGTGGGAACGTGTCTCTGCACGATGCTGTTTTCTTGCGTCCTGGCGTGCCGCGATGGCATCCTCTACGGCAGACTCTGCCAGACACACAGTGTTAGCCTCATGAATAATGGTAGCTGGATGTACGCACCTTTCCGTAACTCCAAGTCCTGTATTGTCGGGATTGCTGGTCCAGCGAACGGGCCACCTCGACCACTGGCTGTCACCTCATGACGAGGAAGTATGGGACCGTACTCTTCCTCGTCCTCGGAATCGAATTCCCGTCCGTTCTGCCGGGGTGCCGTCTCTGACGCTGCGCCGGTGTCGGCATCTTTCCCTCGGCCAACTTGTTCGTAATCTGGTGAATCACGATGTCGCCCAGGGCCGGATACGGGGGGTTGTTCTGGTGCATTACGGCGAGCTTTCTCGAGTGTGCTAGGGTCATACCACCCTTCGGCAAGCTCTCCACGGTTCCTATAATGTCAAATCACTAATTCTATTTTCCTGCTACCAAGATATAGTCCATCGCGTGCTGACCCACGCAAGCGAACCATTCCACTTGCGGAACATTGCAGAAAATCTGTAGTCGCTCGAGGTAACTGGGTCCTTACCATTTTCGAATAAAGCTCTTCCATCTACCCTTGACCTCATCTTCGCTCAAATCTTCCATTATCAGTCCCTTCTGAATATCAAGGTACATGGCGAACATGGGTGCGTAATGGGTCAGATCCCTTTTCGAAAGCTCTCGCGCCTGGAAAGGAAGCACCACAGGTACTGAAGAAACTGATTGCGAATGCCGATCGCGATCATGACTGTAGTCTCGGTGACCGTGATGATTATGACGGTGCCGATGGTGATGATGTCTTTTATGTCTGTCACTTCGGTCTGGGGAGCGCGAGCGCGAGCGGGAACCGTGATCTTGATGGGATCTGCCCCTATGGCGATGATCGCGAGTAGACATTGTGTGGATTTTCTGAGGTGGTGATCGTATCCGTTTTCACGGTTGTCAAGGAAAGCGACATCCAATCTATATGAAATTCGGGCGACAATCGGAAGAGGAGCGGCCAGAAGCTGCGGATCACATGCCAAGCTTTTCCGGGGCAAAGGGACGTGATTTCATGAGTATGAGGTCAGAGCTATAAACATCGTCAATACTTCTTATCTACTCATTTTCCTTTAGCAGTGTTCTATATCCATTCAGCGCTAAAGGTCGTTTCTTGGAATTTTTCGAAATACAAGCAAGAAGACATGCAAATATTTTGTTACCCTTCGTTTCCATTGGGAATAAGCACATGGTACTACCTAAGAATCCAGTACTCTTATTGTAAATACATTCAAGAAATAGAGGACAGTGGCTCTTATTACCATATACAAGGATAAACGAAAGAGTATTCAGATTTGTCAGCCCATGCACAATCTCGGCATAAAATCAATTAACTGGTTGGAGCGCTCTGTTGCTCCGTATTGTCAGAAGAGTTGTCTCCGGCAGGTGTCGTCGATGATTGAGTGGTGGTCTTCGACCGGTTGGCAGCGGCCATCTGCCAGGCAGGAATGGAGGCGCCTCGGCCAAATTGCGCAAGAGGGCTACTAGCCGCGGCGCCGGTGGTTGTGCCGGCGCCTGGCTGTGCTGGGGAGGGCTGCGATTCTTGTGTAGTAGGAGTTGCGGTAACGCCGTTAGCTGTAGCAGGTGTGGTAGCCGGCGATGCCTCCTCCGCGGGCCGAGCGACGCTGGGCAGAGTTGATGCGCTGATAGTTCTTCCGGCAACAGGGGCACTGGATGCGCCGCTGCCACTGAGTCTGTTACCAAGCAAAGTCTTCAAGCTCTTCAATTCAGTGCCAAGCTCCTTCAACCTGGTCTCGTTTCCTTCCCGAGCGCCCTCAAGAGCCTTGGGAATGGCGTCCTTCAATGATTTAACTTCATCGCTGATGCGGCGGGTTTCGTCATCCCGTCGGCGAGAAGCGGTCTTCAGATCGGCCACCAGCGTTTCAACTTCCCGAAGCGCCGTGTCCAGTCGCTCTGTGCGCGCTTCTTCAGCTGACTTCAGTGCCGCGGTATCTGTGGAAAGTTGCTCAATTAGAGCAAAAGCGCGAGAAAACTGCTCATCAATATGCTCTTTGTCTTGTTCCAGTTGGGGTGGCGTAGGAGGGGCGATTAATGGCGCAATGTACCGCTTGAGAACCATTTGTTACTACCATCGCAAAAGAAGAAGAGTCGAGCGAACTGCGGCATCGAAGTGCTAACCTTTGTGACGGTGTATAACCCATATCCCACACCTCCGACTACTGTAGCCATGATGAACCAATCCCGCCAGTCCCTCTTCGGAGGTCTACCAATTCACAAATTAGATTTCAAGTTCTATATCCGAAGACCATGGGCTGATGGTAATGCACTTACTCTGGAGGGGCCTGCCATTGGCCATAAGGAGGGTAGCCATACCCTGGTGGTGGAGGGGGAGGACGGTAGACAGCGTTTTGAGTAGTAGGTTGATAGCCTTGCGTTGAGGCGACAGCAGAAGCAGCAGCGGACGGATCTTCACCGGCGCGGGATAAAGCGAGATCGATTTCTTCCTGCGTAAGGTTTTTCGATTGAAGGAATGCGACTCTCTTCTCAATGGGCGATGAAGCCACAGAAGGATCCTGTAGAACTGTTTAGGTGTTAGGTTTCGCGTCCAGATTCAAATTGGAATGGCTTCGAGGTAGAGCCACACGCACAGGAAACCTATTCAAAAACATCGGTCAGCTCCGACTCCGATAGCAGCATCATATACTCGAGCAGGGTACATACAGCAGAGGAGACAAGCTCCTCGCGAGGAGCCATGATGATATTGTAACACCGGCTTCAGTCAAGATAGCCGTGTTCAAATTATCTAAAGGATAGAGAGGCCGGAAGAGAAGTCGGTTGAAGAATTGGAGAAGAGAGGACGGATGTGGGAATTGATCACGGCGACAGATGCTCATCGGCACACGGACGAGGCCTCCACTATTCAGCTGGACCTCGGAACTTGCGCTGCTTACGGTAATCACGGCCAATGATACAACCACCGGCGGAGGTTCCCCAGATCTCGTGATTGTCGCTGCAGGAAAAACTGTTGTTCCAAATCGGCTCACCGCCTGCGGTATTGAGCGACGTAAGTGGCATGTGCTTGTTTACATCTTTCGGTCGGCTGTTTTGTGCTTCGTGGGCAACGGTACAAACTCCCATCCTTATCGTTTTATGTGAGGGGAAGTCGACTGTGTCATATTTCGCTGCGTCCACAACTTATTTTTCTTGGCTTTTTCGTATCTTTGGACCTTCCGCAATTTGGGGACATTTCTCATCCGAACGTTCGCTTTAATCACGAGTTATTGCCGCAGTCGCGGCTTCCTTTTATCATGTCGCAGGATACGGGATTGTTCAGTATCAGGCGCCCTCGAGAAGTATGCGCAGCCATACCTGTTCCGCGATGTCCTTGATACATCGTACGATTCAATGCGCTGTGACTGACTGCGACTAACATTTTTCTTGATACAGACCTTGGGGAGCGTTCAAAATTATTCGGCCCTGCCGCAACCCTCATCGGCCCTAAAGCGCACCAGCTCCATTGGGTATCAGAATCCTCCCTTTACCTCACAACACACGCGCTCGATGTCACTACTGAACTCAGCAAGTCGCCCTCAACAACCGAATTTCCAGCGCTCTTCATCCGGCGGGGCGTTTGGTGCCGATGCTGGACTTTCGTCGGTCAGGCGATCCGTATCCAGCAACATCTTTCACGGTGCCAGTGTTGGTCGCCCAAGCTATGCGCCGGGCTCACTATCCGCCAGCTCTGCATCGCAGAGTCTACAAAGGAGAAGCAGCGTCTTTTCGCGGCCGTCCATGGGAGGGCCAATGGGACATCAATCCTTTTTCACGCAAGTGCCCAATGCCGCCGGTGTTCCTCGGGACCCACGACCCCTCAGGGATAGATCATTCCAGGCTAGAATTGGACAGGAGCTCCTCGAATACCTGACGCACAATAACTTTGAGCTAGAGATGAAACATTCGCTGGGTCAGAACACTCTACGATCGCCGACCCAGAAAGACTTCAACTACATCTTTCAGTTTTTGTATCATCGAATCGACCCAGGGTATCGGTTTCAGAAGAGCATGGATGCAGAAGTTCCGCCAATTCTGAAGCAACTGCGCTATCCGTTCGAGAAAGGTATCACCAAATCACAAATTGCTGCAGTAGGAGGCCAGAATTGGCCTACTTTCCTGGGTATGCTGCATTGGTTGATGCAATTAGCGCAGATGATGGATCGGTTCGTGCTTGGGGAGTACGATGAAGCCTGTGCGGAGATGGGTGTCGACGTGTCCGGGGACCGCATCATCTTCCGTTTTTTGACTGGAGCGTACCACGACTGGCTGCAGGGTGGTGAAGATGAGGATGATGAGACCGCTGAGAAACGGCTTGTGCCCCATATCGAATCAATGGCTCAGGAGTTTGAGAGGGGGAACGAGAAGTACGTTCAGGAAATGCAAGTTTTGGAAGCAGAGAACCGGGCACTACGCGATCAGATTGAAGAGTTAGAGAAGAACGCCCCCGACATGGCCAAGTTGGATAAGCATTTCAGAATTTTGGAGGACGATAAGCGGAAGTTTGAGGACTACAACCAAAATGTTCAGGGCAAGATCGAGAAGTACGAAAATCGCATCAAGTTTTTGGAGGAGGAAATCCAGAAAGTTGAGGCGGAACTTCAGGCAGCTGAAGAGGAGCGATCCAGCCTCCAGTCCAGCGTTGATCAACAAGGGATTACTATTCAGGATATCGATCGCATGAATACTGAGCGGGATCGACTGCAGAAAAGTCTCGAAGATACCACAGCCCGGTTGGAAGAGACGCATGCAAGGGTCATGGAAAAGGAAGCCGAGGCTAGTAGGAAACTTGAGGATCTGGAGGAAATCGTTAAAGTCTACAACACGCTCGGCTATCAGACAAGTCTGATTCCTTCCACTGCCGTCAATGCCAAGGGTCAGGATTACGAACTCAGTCTGAACATCAGTGATAATAGCTTCTCCGCGTCCCAGATTGGCGGTCTGCCGAACAGGATTTCTTCTGAAGCAGACCGGCTGCTAGCTGAGCCTTTCACAGGCTATCACCCGGCACATCTACTCAACTTGGATCTTCGTGGTATGGTGCGCAGTAGCTTGCAGGCTCTTCGGAAGGAGATAAATGAGCGCCGGAAACGCGCGATTGATGATGACTTGGAGCGTCGCAATTTGCTAGACAACATCAAGGAAGCGATGGATGAGAAGCGGAGCGAGGTTGAAGCTCTGGAGCATAAGCGGCGGGCTGCGGAGGAGGAGTTTGAGCGATTGAAGGAGATCACTACCACTCAGAAACTTGCGTCAGACGCCCAGATTGAGAAGATGGAAAAGGAATTGGCCAAGATGCGAGCAACTTTGAGCGAAAGTGTGCAGTTGATGGAACAGCGGGAAATGAACACCAACATCGAGTACGAACAGCTCACACTTCGGGCTAATGCGTTACGAGAGGAACTTCATACCAATGTGGAAAGCATGTTGAACGACGTGATTCGATTCAAGGTGCACATTCAGAAGGGTCTAGAAGACTATGAAAGCTTCGTCGTCGATGAGGTGGAGCAGGAGCTTGGAGGTGACTTGCCTGCCACAGAGGATGTCACTGGTCAGATTTGAGAAAATCCGAATCGCGAAGACCGCTGACGATCTGCTATGGTCATGATTGACGATTGTTCATGCAGAAATCTATCCTATGTCTTGTTTTGTTGGGCAGCGCCATTACTTCTTTTTTCGGCTCACTTGAATGCGAGGATGATCGTCGCGGAAAGTATTCTCAGGGTCATCCAATTTCCGCTTATGGCGTTGTTGGACAGGTCTGGGTTCTTGGGGGGTTGACATGTTCTTATATCTGAATTGTCCGGATGCTCTTGATATTGACGATTGATACCTCTTTCTACCTAAATTGTTGAGATTTTCGCTCTGTTGTCGTATCCCTAGGCGAAGATGTATATATACATTCCGTATGCGCTCTCTCAAGTTCTTTCTTCCTGATCAGTTTGTGACTCCTGTGTGTGCCTAGACAATGAACATACTCAGGCCGATCATCAAGGGCTCCTTTGCCACAGCGTGAGGAGCCCTTCGCTTCGAGGGCTGTTTGCGATTGCCACCAGGTTTCGACTACTAGTAAGCTTGGGTTGATCATCATCGGTAGCAAACCTGCGGCCGCATGGTCAATACCACGTCCATGGACTTGAGGTCTCTCACTTCTGCTTAATGTCCTGTTAATACTTGTTCCTTGTTGATTCGCTTGTCTCCAGCAATGATTGACAGGAAGGGGACGCGCAAGCTTACGAGATTGAGTCGTATTCCTCTCACACAGCAAGACCATAAAAATCGGCTCATTCGACAAGCTGGCCAGCCATTGCCAGGCAGGATATGACCGCGTTGGGGATCTCTTTGCCCAGTCTCGTATAGATTACACAGCAAGCAACCAACATTCTACTCATGGGGCCAGGTAGGGCTTGCAGCTGGCTGGGTATTCGTCAACCCAACAGCAGCGAGTCATTTGCCCGCTTCTCATTGAGTGCGGTGATGTTCCTCGTATAACATCTGCCTTGAGAGTGATCGGCATGTCTCATTGAAGCGTTGGGGGCCGATGGCTATGCTCATCCGAAGTGTTGCGTACAGCTGTTGTGTTAGTCCTTGCCATTTGGGATGAATGGACCAATTGGCATCCTATTTAGACATAACACTACATTCAGGATCGGCTCGTATCTTTGCTAACTCGGGTCGATCCCGCGAGTTTCTAAATAAACCTGCGGCAAGGCTGTTGGACCTGCCTTTGACCTACTCGGACCCCAGCGATTAGAGATAATGCTATCAACATTTCAGGTAACAGAAAGGCGATGAACGTCATGGTGTCAATTGCTAAATGAGGACATGAAGAAGCGGAGGCAGTTCTAACGTATATATACCACTGGAGACCCAACAGAGTTCGATGTGAAAGGTCCAAGCAGTCCCTGCTATGCACAGGAGGATCGCGCCCAAATCATCCTATCTGTCAATATACATTGAGCAAGAGGTCTAGCTTGTGCTACTGAGTCACCATGAAAGCTTCCACAATCGTTCTCAGCGCCGTCATGGCTCTCTGTGTCAACCCAGCTCTAGCTCGTGTGCCTGGAAGGCCTTCTACTTCCGTTTCTCCCTCCCATAAGGTAAGTCAAAATGTGGACAATCCTTCAGCCTGACCTCCAACTGACAGACCGGCCATTCAGCCTTCTGGGACACCGTCTTCATGTTCTTGCATCCCATCAGGCACACCATCGGTGACTCCGTCCACGACTCCATGCCCGTCGAGATTCCCCAAGCCCACAGGAGCTTTTCCTTGGCGCTCCTCCACGTTCAGCCATCATCCGAGCGCGAGCTGCACACCGAGTGGAAGGCCTCCGCATGGAAGACCTCACGGTGATAGTCATGGGTGGGACCACGATCACCGAGAGCCGCCTGCGGAGGAATTCGGAGACTTCCGACCTAGGATGTTTAAGCGCATGTAAAGTTATAGAGAAGAAGCACAGTTGAAGGATTTGTGCCGCTTGAAGTCATTTGTTTGTTATACAAGACTGTTAGTTCTATTGTCGGTCCGCGGGTTGGATCGTTCACTCGTTATCATATCCGCAGCTATCAGGCGTTGACGTATATGAGATATGATACTATGGCCATCATAAGGCATCGGAATGAAAGGGGTGGTTTCCATTTCTCTGATACAAAAGTAGATTCGGATTGAACATAGTCGGATGCTTCACAGACGGCTTTATCTGATAGTACCAAAAGCTGAGCCGTGATTGGCTGATGATTGATGACTAACGCTACAGGCGATACTTTTTCGTTGCCGACAAGCAAATCCCTCTGAAGATTACAAAAAAATCTACAGCTCCCACATTCTCACAGGTGACCGACAGGACTTTTAACGGCGTTGTTGGAAATGTGGTATTGGTTAAGTGATTAGATATGCGCTGCAGACGTCTCTCGGACGGTCATATCGAGTTTTGCATTTCCCTCCCGCAGGCTTCGTCCGCAACGTCCTCCGCCGTGTCATGAAAAAGTGCCTGGGTCCAGCTCGTCTGCCGTGTCTGGGCCGCAGGTTCTCCTCGTTCCATTCCCCGTCAGCTTTGTACGGTTGCTCATTCAGCTCTACGCTTCGACCGAATCTCCCGAGCTGCGGAATCTCCACAGGAAGGCGACAATGGAGTCGCCCGTTCTCCGCGAGGTCTGCGGCTGTGGTCGACCGCCAGCTGCTGCGAGACTATGCGCAATTTGAGAAGAAAGGATGCCCAGTGTCGGGGCCGAAATTAAGACGGGAGGACCCCGATTCTTGGATTCCTCTATTAGAACGTTACCTGCCGCCATCCCTGCGAAAAGTACCCGAGGAAGCCGCCGAGACGGATGCCGAGTTCGACGCCGCAACGACCATGGGCCGGGAGACTCTCGCGCAGGCTATCGAGCTAGCCAAATTGCTCTTCTACGCTCGGACTGAGGGCAACATCGATCTACTGGCGTACTTGGGTTTTCGGTTGAACAATTGGCCTGCGGTGAATGTTCTTCTGACTCGGCTACTGGACGCTGCGGATACACTTGACAAGTATTCGATACCCCGCAGACCTCTATCGAGCCATGACTGGGGCTCTAGCGCAGGTGTCTCGCTTGATGAGCTTACCAGTCAGCATGCCGAAGGGGCCTCCAAGCTCGTTCACCTCACAAAGTCGCCAGCTGCGTCAGAACTGACCAGCTTCGACTCGTGGACGGAGCGCCCATTTGCAGATGAACACGCTAAGCGCTTCATGGCAGAGGTCTGGCAAAGCTTGGGATCGATTGTGCTCGATGCCGCCGATGCGTCCCCGAACGAGTCTAAGCTGGCAATGTCCTACGTCTTCCGTATCCTTGCTCGTCTACACCATTCTGGCGCAGTGTCTGACCGGGTGTACAAATACGATCCTCCGAGTGTCCATCGGGTAAACTTTCGGCCGCCGGGAATGCACCTTTTGTCAACCCACATCATGAGCGTGTTGACCGATGCGGCTTGGTTGGCACATGAAGCAGAAGTCGCAGCAAAGGCTGCTGCTGCGGGCAAGAAGTCGCCATACCTCCCTTTCAATTTGGGTATACGGGAACTTGGACATGAGATTTGGTTGGAGCTAATTCTTTGGTCTTGTGTGGAACATGGGTATATTCAAGAAGGAGTGTGGCTTATAGAACGAATGAGGTCAAAGACTGATTCTCGAGCTTGGGGCTTTGAGAGCTGGAAGCCTCTCATCGAATCTTCCAGGTCGGTTTGGAAGACCAACGTGGATGCAGAAGTGTCTTGGCGTCGTCCCGAAGACAATGACCCTCAGTGGTCGTCACGGAGACGCACCGGTCTTGCACCCTTCAACGGGCTAGGAGAGCGAACGATCAGCGCCGAAGTCGCCGCAGCGCTGTTAGATAGCCTGCCCAATCTCGTCTATCTGGGTCTCGGCTGGCGCGGTTTATCGCCAAGTGCGCTTCTCCGTCATGTATCCAACCTCCAGCCCGCCATTGCCTCCTCCACGGCTGAGGCGAAGTTGCTACCGACTGTAAAAGCAACCAACTGGTTCGTCATTCGTGCCATTGAGTCTGGAGGTTTCAATGCCGAGAATGACCCTCGAGCTTTCGAGGCACTGCTCAAGGTTACTCCACATGTTATTCCACCGTGGAGTAACAATACCTCTCCTATGGAAGAAGACGTGGAATCATTGACATTGGGGCAGCTGTATGACGACACGTCTGCATTTGCTGGCCTTATGGAGTACAATATAAGGTTCTTTGCCTCGTGGCGTTTGTGTACAGATGCATTAGACGCCTTCTCCTGGCTTCAGGAAGTGGTGGACGCCAGCAAGTTGCAGCGCATCCGCGAGTTCTCCGAGCGAGTAGGCCAATCGGATACAGTTAGTCTACCTTCATTTGACCTTGACAGCCTGGAATCCTTCAAACCGTTTGAATCGTCGATGCCGCAGATGTCGATCGTTACAGTAGCTGAATTGCTGGACTTGGTCACGACATCGCGGGCGTTTGCATTCGGGGACTGGTTGTTCTTTTCGAACGACATTGACGGCCCTCCCATTCCTCCAAGTGCTTACGGGAACCAAGCCCTCGCGCCGTCGATCATCCGATTCGCAACAGCCACTAAGAACGAAGCACTGTGTAAGTCAGTCGTGCGTGCGCTCTCTCAGCCCCTCTCCTTGAACACCATGCGGGCGCTGTTGAACTTCCGGATCGCCATGGGGCAATGGGATTCCGCGACTATGATGCTGGAGTACGTCCGCGACTATCGATTGAAGTCATGGGGATACAGCAACGTCACGGCGCTGGCCGCAGCAATCGTGCGGATGGACCACGCTGTCAAGCAGCAACCCTCCACAATGCAGCAGAGCGACCTAGACCGCGCAAAGGACCTTCTCCTCCGCCTCCTCAACGGCGAATTCAACGAATCCCATCACTCAAAAACCAGCTTTCAAGACAGACTCATCCACAGCATTCGCCGTGTCTTCCTGGCCATGCCAGGCTCCCTTCGCGAGGTCGCCCAAAAAACTCACCTCAAGTACAAAGCCAGCCCGCGCAGCAACCACCCCTACATCCCCGCCACAGCCTTCCACGCGCTCCTCTCCGCCGTCGTAGACACACAGGGCAGCGCCGCCGGCAAACGCCTCTGGGAACAGTGGTGCCTCGACGTCCGCTCCCCGACCTTCTCCCGCCTCCAGGAAGGCGGCATCACCCGCCTGTACCTGCATCGCGAGCGCGACCCGCGCAAGGGCGACCCGCACTTCGACCCGAGGTACTTCGCGCAGACGCAGAAGAAGGCGGTCCTGCCGAACCCCAATACCATCCGCATCATCGCGCAGCAGGCGGTGAAGGAGTACACCGAGTTCGACGAGGCTCGCCGACGTCAACAACCTGTACAGCTTGAAGAGCAAGACTCGAACCCCGCCCTTGAAGTCGTGGAATTCTGTATCCGGCAGTTCCAGGCTTTCCGGGTGCCGTGGAAGGAGATCAATAGGGAACTCGGCGGGCTCGTGTACTGCCTACACAGGGAGAAGAAGAAGGAGCGAAAGAAGATTGGAAAAGACGGCGCCTACACTTCCAACAAGTAATACCCATTGTACATATCATTTCCTTTCACATCTGCCATTCAATTACAGCGTCTACATATTCCATTTCTCTCATGTACATATCTATATGCCTATACAATGACAAATACTCGTTTACTGTCATTTTTGCTAGTTCGAATTGGCTACATTCCCAGAAATGTATCCGATATTATTCCGTTGCACGCTGTACGCCATACACGTGATCAAGTCCCTCATGGTATCAGTCTGTTCATACTACCCACGGCTCATGACGCATCCATCGTAAGACATCATAAAGACAAGCCTAGCTTAGGCTCCCAAGGTGAAATCACTGAAACTCCAGCCCGGCCCCCGTGCCAACCCATACTCGCCCAATCATGACTTCTATCCGCAAATTGGCTGCGTCCCTCTCAAAAGTCAACGCCGCAGCTGAACTCCAAAGCGAAGAAAATCGTGCGCAGAAACAGAAACGAATTGCTTTGGCGTAAGAATAGGCAGTGTGAAGATATTCGTTAGGTCAGGTGGCCATTAACTTGGAATGGAACATGAAGACAAACTAGTGGCCTGTGATTGATGAAGAAAAGGAAAGAGTAGACGGCCAATACATTACAGGTGTCATTAATGCGTCCATGGTTCCTCGTCGGCGGCCGCCGGGAAGAACGATCGGATGAATTCCCCGCTGATCGGGTCATAAGGGAAAAAGGCATCGCCTCCGGGAGGATTGCTGCTGGCCGAGGACAGCAGATCAAGGCTGGGGATCATTTGAGAATGCGAAACCGTAGATGGATGCGGATTCTGGAAGTATTGGTAGGTTCCCTGGGACCCGCCGGCGGCAGTGGGATTTAGAAGACTGTCGTCCGTGGCATCATAGAACATGGGTGTGGATGTCAGATTGGCGTTTTGGTGATTGGAGCCCTGGGGTTGCATGCTCAGGGGCTGGGCTGGTCTCGTCTCATAGGCAGACTCGGGCATGTCGCTGACGTCGTAGTTCATGCCGCAAGCGATCCGCCGGAGATTGCCATCACACAGCTGCCATGCACGCCGTGATGCTGCGCTGCACTCGGACATCGCATAGAGCCAGCGAACGGCCTTTTTGGCGGCCGCCAAGAAATGCGGCTCCTCCTCAGGCATATGGATGTTGCCGAAGGATAACTCGAGTAGAAGAACAGTCGCGGCCTGCATCAAGTAGTGCAATATGCACCACCAGGGACAGATTTGATAAAGCTTAATGGCGTTGGGCTCGTCGGGTAGCAATTCGAGCATCCGAAGCGCGGACTCGAGCGATACCTCAGCCATGCTGTGACTAAAAGTCGGCTTTTTGCTCGGATCTCTCGGGCGTGCGTCACGACGGCACAGACATGGTCGTCCAAGAGTGATCCGAGCACTGTGGAACTGAAACGCGAGGAAAAGTTTCAAACGAAGCAGTTCTTGATCCTCCTCGGCCATCTTGCGGGCAAAGTCAAACACCTCGGGAAGAGTGTGATACCAGCGGTCGATTCTCGCTCGAAGCTCCCCAATACGATTCTCAATATGGGCCCACGGTGTGTTGACGCAATCTGGCGAGTAGACCCTATTGACAATCTCCTGACTGATCACTGCCAGGTCGGTGTAGAACAGATAGCACAAGGCCCGGCTCGGAGGCTGACTCTTTAACCATCGGGCGTCCCGTGGCTTGTCCGTGACTTGAGCATCTCTGCCACCCGGTGGATTCAAGGGCGTTTGACGAACATACGAACTTGCCATCGCTGATCCGATATACGCCTCCCGCATATCTTGATCCGCCAAAAGCTTGGCCGCAAAGGGCTCCCGTAGCTGCTCCTCATCGAAGGGCAGGGGCATAGGCGTCGTACAGACACCATCTAGGATACAGGTTGACCTGCCCGTCATGACCCCAAGCATATGCTCGAACGTATACAGACACCACCAGACCTTATAACGTGCCTCTTTGGATATATCGGGAGTCGTCTCGCTGGTGTTCTTCATATTGATCCCGAGAGCAATACCAGATCGAACAGCCAAAGACGCAATTCTCCACGCTCTGGAAGGGTCAGTCACAACAAGACAGCTGGAATTGGGGGCTATAGTACTCACCGGTTGATCTGATCCGATGCAAGAAGATAAAACGCAATAAGACCTTCAACCTGTACCTGCTGCAGGTCAGGATGATTGAAAAGCGTATCACCATTCATGCTGAGGATGCGAGCCCGTGTCAGATACACAAGATGATCACGTTCGTCTCCGCGCCAAGGTGCCTGTGTAAGATGCGCATGCTTGGATGCAATAGCGAAAATCATGTTCAAAATGGCCAACCATTTGTCACCAGGCCGCGCTGCGCTTTCGAAAAAAACCCTATACTGCGCGCTAAACAGCGTGCGACTGATGATCGGGAAGAATGGGTGAACTGTAGTCAAGTAGTCTTCGAAAAGTTGGTCCGCCACATGGCGTGGTGGCATCCAGTACACTTGTACGGGGCCCGGAACGGTGATATCCATGTCATCTAGGTGATAGTTCACGGCATGCACAGCAAAGTCACCCTCAGGCTTCATATCCGATGCTCCTGACTGTTTCCGAACGCGTTGCTCAGCCTCCCGCCGTACCCTCTGCATCCAGGTGAGCTCCGAATTCTTGCCTATGTACCCTGTAGCCCTCGAGGTCTCACTCCGATTCAAATCTTCTTCCACCCTATCGATCGCGTCTAGCGAACCAATCGACGAAGGGGACGATGGCGGTTCATCCTGCTCCATTTCTTCCTCCTGGGGCGTCAACGAAGACTGCGGATCATTCGAGGAACTCTCCTGGCTATTGCTCTCTCCATTATACTAATTGACAGTCGGGTAATCAGCAGGGGCAATCGCGGTCAAGTGAAGACTCCTCAAGGAAAATCGCCGTAGGCTCTTACTTTGTCCAGCGTGCTCTTGATACGCTCCGAAGTTCGACTATCCGCCACGCTCCCAATCTCTCGCAAGAGATTTTCATAGTCTTGAGTCTTGACCGACAATATATCCAACTGCCTGCATCCGTGGCAAAAAAATACGAATCAGTTGTAAGCCCACACAACACGACAGACCCACGACGTACCCTTTTGTCTTCTCCCTCCATGACACCGGATATCGACACGTGACCCTCAGCTCTTTACACTGCCTGCATATAGGAGTATCACCGCTGCATTTCGTCTTTCGTGCTCGGCAGGTTTCACATGCTCGCGGCACACGGCGACTGTAGCGCGGGGCTACAGTCGAGCGCTGTCTGGGGATCGCGACTTTCGCATTTGCACTTTCATTCGCTCCGGATCGATTGGGACCTAGCGACGAGGGGTTTGCGATCTGCTGCATGTAGGAGGAGTCTTTTGGCGCGACAGCTGGCATTGAGTTGATCGCAGCGTTTTCTTTGCGATCGGGCTGTTGTGGTGGCGGATGTAAAGGCATCTGGCCCCGCATCGCGGCACTTCCCGACTCGGGGATACTGGAGGGAGCGTTCTCCATGCTGGTCTCCCCTCTCCGGAGGCGACGATTGAACTCGTGCACAGAAGTAGTATGATGTAGATCCGGAGAAGTTTGACCAGGTGAGTTGGTCGAGGAAAGTCTTGGCTACAGGTGTTTGCGTCTTGGTATCAAGACTCTGTTCCACAATAGTCTAGAGCGGTCAACGATAGAATGGGCATTTTGTAGCAATTCTAAGCCGACGACCCTGTTTCAGGACCAGTATGAAAACGAGGAGGTTAAGAAACAGGCCAAATCACTGCCATTCGTGGAGTATGTTATAATGGCGAAAAGAGCTCGTAAAAACAGCCCGCGAAGAGCCAGCGAAAAGAGCCAGGGGAAACTGAGACAAGGGAAAAGAGATCCGAACGGCAGAAGAAAGGGAACACAGACGAAGGATCACTGCCTATTATTACTACTGACAAAATGTGGAGTGGAAGCAGAAGAAACAGGCGCCAATCAGATGGCGGACGATCGAAAAAGCAGTACTTAGTTATCTTCTGGACCGAGTTCACTCTTTCGGAGGACAAGAGGGAGATCCGAGAGGGGATGACAGCTAGGGTCTTACTCCTCCTCCCCGAGAGCAGGATTGAGATTAGAGAGGCAAAGAAGGAGGGAGAGCCTGGAAAGGGATCCCATAATCACGAATGATTCTGAACTCTGATTCTTTTTCCATGTTGATGCAGGATTAGATAAGCGCCCCCCTCGCAACAGAATATAGAGATAGAGATATAGTAATAGACTAGGGATGAGACATCATGAGATATAATACTGTTTCCCTTCAACGATAGCTTAGAGGAGAATAGAGATGATCATGTTTTGTGATGATGTTTCATTTAGATAACATACATAAGAGAGGCATCAAACCATCAAACGCATCTCGCTTCCTCCCATTTTCCTTTAACCGTTTCTTCTCTTTGAGAAATGCTTCTTTCCTCTTTGCTTTTTGCATGAAGCGCAAAATAACCTTTCTTCCACAAATTGGGATTGAAAAGAACATAGGAAAGACATAGATACATCAAGACCAGCTGGGGAATATTCGAACCGCCGTATAACGGAAACCCAAAAACACGATAGATATATGTACAGTGAAGCCGGCTCATTGGCCACCTAAGTGGGAAGGCGCAGAGACCCAGCAAACGAGGAAGGTAGGACGCCCATTAAACAGACAACGGGAGTATAACGTTATAACAAGGATATCCCTCGCAGCCACAGGGTGCGAGAACGTAGAGGGAGGATTCGTCTTTGCGGAGTGGAGAAATAAAAACAAATTCCGACGGACGCAGTAACATCGGTGGGATGCATGCAAAGAGCCATAGGCTCTGCAATGCATACGATGGATTGTGGACCGTCGCAGTCAGCCCGGCGAGAGGTTAATCTATCGCAACTGGCGATTGGACTGCTCACGAGATGTTCAGATCTCACCGAACATCTCGTCGAGCTCGTCGACTTCTACAGTCTCCGGATTCTGCAGCTCTCGCCACGAATCAAAGACCATGTCCATATCCATATCCTGGATTCTCCCAGGCAGCACCAATTTGTCTTCCTGCTCAGCTAGCTCCGACATCTTCATCTCAATATCTGGAAGCTCACTATTTAACATGTCAATAGATCGCTTCAGGGTCGAGACCGAGCGAACACTAGGATCTTCGGGAAGGCTGATCTGGGGAGCACTCGCGAGGACAGTCGCACGGTCCTCAACTTCAAGACCGTCATCGGACGCGGCACTCGTCCCTGACGAGAGCGACGATGCGACCGACGCGAGCGACGGGGAAGGCGAGGTACCGAAGAGGGCCGACGCAGCCACATCATCGGTATCAAGTTGATCCAGCTCCAGCTGCTGCTGGAACCGCTGTTGGACCTGGTAGTTTCCATGTGAGAAGTAATCGCTGTCCTCGTGATCCGGCAGGCGCTCCTCGTTGATAGAGGAAAGAGGACTGTTTTCGACTGAGGTCTCCGAAATGCTCATGACTCCGTTTTCCAACTCGCTGAGGGCATCCGAGAGAGCAGAGGACTTCTCCGTGGCTGCTTTCTGCTCCGAGGCCCGCTCGCGAACAGCACTGGCAGTCTGCGTGAACTCCTTCTCATCGCCCTCCAGCGGCGGGGATGCGGCGCGATTTGAATGCATGAGGCGCGCATGGCTGTGATGTTCGCTGAAACTGTGGCCAGGGCGTCCTGCACTACGATCGATATTCTCTTCCTCAAAATCAGGAGAGGACAGGTCGACCTCGGGACTAAGCGATCGTTCCCGTGCCAACATCTCCTCATCATCCAGGTCAGCGTTGGAAACGCTGGGCGTGAAGTCTTTCCCATCCACACCTGGAATGATCACATCATCCGAGTTCTCGGGAATAGGCCGACGCGGCAATGTCGTGAGGTAGTAATACACTTTGCGCGGATGTATAGGAATTAATTCCTTTGCAATAGGGCACGGCGCCAGGGCAGTCCAAGGGCGCTTCATATAGGTGCCTAGTCGCGAAGACAGGAGAGCAGCGGGATTGGCGGAGCTAGATGCAAAAGCGAGACTGTTAGCTTCCAAGCACAGGACGGTTTGAAGAGTAGGGGACGGCGTACTTTGCGACATTCTCGTTGAGGGTAACGAGAATGGCTGCGAGCTCTTTAACAAGGTGAGGGCGATTCCCGGTCTTCTCTAGTTGCTCAATCACGCCCACGACGATGTCATCGTTGATACCTTCTGTGTCGATCTTGGGCGCAGCGGTTCCGTCCGTAGGGGACGGAGGTGGCGTATGCTCATAAATTCCGCGCCTTCCGTTCGGCCGTATTGTTTGCTGGTCCTTTGCATCTGTGGAAGAATTCGAGGATGGCGAAGGCTCTGGTGATGATGATACCGAGTCGTGCGACCTCTTTACTTTTTTAGATGGCGGCAATTGATCGTCGGTCGCGTGCGGCTGTTTCGACGCAGAAGGGGACCGACGAGATGAATTGGGAAGATGAATACCCAGCGAAGGGAGAGACAACGACTTGCGGCGAGTATTGTAAGGCATAATGTGTGGAAATAGACTTGTGGATGGAGAAAGTAATATACGGGGTGGAAGAATAATCAGTGAAGCAGGTGAGAGATATGGATGGGTATGGTATAGTAGTAACGAACAACCAAACAAAATACAGTTCGGATATTAAAAGGAAGCGATGCGAAGTAATATTACTTGAATCAACGACAATAAAGCGTTAATATAGAGTAGATGATTAACAACGATGATAACAGATGATAACACACGAGCGAGGATAGTAGTAAAGTAGAAGGATGGAGAACGAGATGGGAAGCAGTTTACGGGAAGGGGGCAGGAAAGGAGAGAGAGGGAGTAGCTAGATAGGATGGATGGAGGTGATGGCGATGATGAGATGTCGGGATGGGCGGGAGACAAGCAGAAAGGGAAGAATATTCAGAGGGCAGCTCGTTGGCCAGTTGATCCCAAGAATTATGATTGTTATGGGGCGATGAGAGGAAACAATTAACAATTGTTTCCAAAAGGGAAAATAGAAAGGGCAAGATGGAAAAGGGTGTGAAGACCGAGTGGAGTTTGGTATTTTTCCCTAGAGATTTTCTTCTAACGATTTACGAAAGGGAGAAAAAGTAGGGAAAAAGGGCGGAAAAAAAAAAAAAAAAATTTCAGGGCGGGTGCTTCAGGGTGGCGTTGATTGGATTGGCAGAAGATGGGCCGGCCTTTTCTTTACTATTTTATTCCAACAGGAATGCTTGCCTACCTTATGTATGGTACCGACTACGGAGCAAGAAGAAGAAAAGCAAATGGCCGAAACCTGGGATTGTTCTTCAATTCTTCCGTACCTCCGTACCTCCGTAATAGTACATCCTCTTATTATTACTAGATATGTCCTCAAGTTGCGCTAGTCCAACAGTATTGACACAAGCTAGAGCAGGAGAATGAGCCTAGATGGTCATCAAGGCTTCACCGCCATAGCTGTTCCTGGGCAAATCCGCCTGGCGGTGGTTGTATGTGCGTTTGGATGTCTGTCTACACAGTAGTATCTATCTGAATTTCTGAAGATGGATCAACAGATTCACACGCAAGTGACCAAAGGGGCAAAAGTACAGTGGGGCCAGCCATGTGAGTATGACGACTAGCAAAAATGGCTGACTATCTGATTGGTGAAAGGAGGTTAGGATCATCTATGGTTCTGCATGGGCTCCATGGTGGAGTTATGCACCATCATGGAGCGAGCAAAGAGGCGAATCGGGTAGCTACGTATTGCTTTCTAGGCTCCCGCGCTGGCAGCTAGACCAGCTGAAGACGGTCCAGCACTCCTGGTTGCTGCGCAGAGATTTTTTCTTTTGGACAGATGGAAAACAAACAAGAAGTATGCCAGTTACACTATTATTGAGCCAGCTCACGTCCACACAGGCTAACTCTATAGAGAGGCATTGGCTTGCCAACATCTTAGATAGTTGCTGGGTACTACGGTAGTGTAGACTTGCCTCTTGACCGACTCGATAGATGAGCATTCTCCGATCGTCGGTTGTTTACCTTTTGCTAAACAGAAGTTATGCTCATATCTTTGAAGCTCCCCAATCACAAGCTCGTATGACATATATGGCGGCGAATCTCCATGGGAATTTTAGTCAGTGAATGCATCATAGCTTGCTTGGTTCCGTGGTTTTCAAGGACCGACGGAGGTTAGAAAGGCGATGTCCACGGTCCATACAGAAAGTCGATACAGGGAAGAGGGAAAAAAGGAAATGGAGAAAGGAGGAAGGCTTGAGCCAGCATTAGCGCGTAGTATGTTGATTTCGGGACTAACCAAGAAACAAAATGGAATCTAAGAGAAATTCAAACGAGTGGAATGGGGGATTCTAAAGAGCTTCCCATCCAGAAAAGTGGATTCGAGATGTGACCACGCGTTCCTAGCGGCGCCGTTTTGGACATCAAATAGCGAATAAAATTGTCGACGATGGAGCAAACTCCGAGCTATGCAGCAGAGTGGAAGAAAATCCAATCGGATGGGCCACAGTGAGGCTTGTCATGATTTTTACACTTTCCAGATTTCCGGAATTGGGTTGTCGAGTGTCGCAAATAGCCAGTTGCCAGTTGCCAGTGGCTTGCCCGCTCCTTGCTTTTTGATGCTGAGACCCTGTTACTCTCGTATTGTGTTGGCTCGAAAAGTATAGCTCTCGGATGATATCGCCCTTCCTACTCCGTATGTTAATCTTCAAGCCTGCTGAAAACCAGACCGATGAGTATTCCGTAGATAGACTGTCTTTCAAATGGATAGGACAAATTCCTGTGGTAACGGTTGATCGTAAGGTCAAAACAACAAGTAGGTTGGAGAATGTTCACTTCGGCCGGTACTACCCCAGTTTCAAATGGGTGCCTAGATGCAATGTGATATGTATCAGCGGGGCGGCAAGGGATGCGCAGAGTACCTAGTACACACATTCCAAGCATCCCTGTCGTTATTTGTTGCCAAGCTACCACATCACACCTCCTATTCTATGCTTAGAGCCTCACGCACTTGAGTATCTCGCTGATGCGACAAAGGAGATTTATGATTATGCTTATCTGAAAGCTTTTGTCGCTTTAGGGATAATCAATGGAGACAGCCACATTGCGATCAAGATACTCTAGGGTATTATCTCTATCTCGCTAGGAGGTGTTCCTCATGCAGCTATGCTTAATCTACAGCGCAGACCGTTAACGTACATCGTCCTTGCTTAACCACACATATTAGACTTCGCTGTATGAGTATCTACCATCTACTTACATACATCATTTGCATCGATATTGCATTGTTTATTGACGCATGTATGGCGTATCTACCCCGAGATCTGCGCTTCAGGAAGAGGGATAGAGGGGTACACACCCTCTGTCAAGGTCATATCAAACAGCGTCTATGTCAGCAACTCCGTACATGTGGAACGACAGGTCCACGAATAGAACGAACTTCTCGCTCAACTAGTGCTATCAAGATGTTATGGAGTACTTATCTCCTACGTGTGGTTTCTCTCTCGGAGATGATTGACCTGTCAAGTCTTCCCTCAGGATCACCATGACACATCCCAATGAAACCAATGTCTCAAATATGAGCACATAGCCATCCTATTAACCAAATACCAGCTATATCATTGGATCAAGCGCCTAGAATCATGCCCATCGGCCCCAATCCAGAATCCAGATGGGTTCCCCGGTGGAAACTCTAAGCTCGCTAAACAAGATACATACTTTCACCAAGACTCCGTGTACCCCGCATATGTGATGCATTTGGCAACGCCATCTTGACCTCATTTTGGAGTATTCCCGTCCTAAAGAGCCCAAACTGCTCCGTAACTCCATAGACCGTCGAGAGACTCCACCGTAGAAGTTCTATTCCACTCTATTAAGTTGATCGGCGGTGGTATACGTTGTCAAACACCTAGACGAGCTCCTCCGAAACGAAAGGAAGACGTCATGATTTATATATAGTGTGAGGGGGTTGAGAACTCCGTCTACAACCTCTTGCTCCATCTTATCATGTCAGAGTTTGCTACGATTCAGATTTCGTAACTCGTTCGAATAGCCAATTAGTACTATAAACTGCTTATCAAAGAAATCTAGCATATCAACAGATGTTTGACCGCATATTGATGCAATGATCGACTCCGGAGCCATGTCATGCGCCATTACTTGTCTTTCATATAGTTATATATCGTACAGACTCAAGTCTATCTAATATACAATGTTATGCCAATTATGCCAATGCATCCCGATCGTCATGGCTTAGCATCTTGACTTTCACGTACCGGCCTCAGGACATACTTCCAGGTTGTCCCAAAGTGCCACCGTTTCTCCTCCACGATTTCCAACCCACTTTGCCGAACAATCTCGCCAATATCCCGATTCCACCAGCACCCATGCCGGTCTGCGTGCGCGGGGGCCAGATTGTCTAAGATTTTGTTTAGCCAGTCGTAGTATGACCGACCATGCTCGAGCAGCAATATCTGCCCCTTGTGTGGTTCTGTAATCGAACCCAAATGGCGCAGGGTGCCTACAGGATCCGGCATCGAGCATAATCCCATGGTCTGCACGATGGTATCGTAGTATGCTGGCTTCGCTCCCGCCGATGGGGGAACGACGTCCTTTGCATCCTGCGCACGGAAGGTCACATTCTTGAAGTTCGGATGGAGTTTCTCGAACTTGCTGCGTGCGACTTCTATCATTTGTGGGCTGAGATCGACAAAGGTGACGGAGCGACAGCCTCGGACCACTGCTTTCCCATCTTCATCAAGACCGCGTCTTTCCCCCAGATCGTAGTACTCCAGGTTCCGACCAGTACCGCAGCTCACCTCCAAGACATCTCCGCGTGACCTCCGGACAAGGTTCTGTCGTTTCTTGGCCATACGCATCACCTTCTCTGACATTTCGACTTCAGCGTCAAAGTTGGGTGCGGTGCGGTTGTACCGGTCTGATACATCCTCGGGAATATCAAGCGACCGCGCGTTGGTTACCTCCCGCCTGTAGGAAGCGTAGAGATAGCCGCAGTAGGTGCTGATGGTGAGCGCTGTGACTCCCAGAACAGTCATGGCTCGTGGAGACAGTCGAGGGGTCTCAGGCTCGGGCTTGAGATTCAATAAATGAGGGTTGGCCCGCTTCGGCAGCACAGGAGCCGCTGGACGGTTGGAGCTACTCTAAGTTAGATGTCTGGATCCAGGAAATGGAAGAGATTGGAAGATGACAGAGGATAAGGATGAAATCCCATTCTACATCGTACTGACCTTGGTCTTTCTACAGTCGGGATCTTGGGACCGGACACAGGCACTTTAGCCTTCTTCATGGCTGCTCGGCCTGCTCGGGATGCACTCATGATTGCGAGTGATAATAAGTCTATCGGACTAGGTCTGCCGGATTTTCTCGCCTAAGGTGATAGGCCTCAACGAGTTTTCGTGGTATCAGGGCAGTGATTTGGTTCCATTCCTCTGCGGTGCTCTATCCATCGAAGCTCAAATATTGCATGACCGTTAAGGGTGAAACATATAGACAATGCGCAATCACCTCCAATCAAAATTGATAGTGGTATTATCCGGAGTCTATCTCTGTTGACAACTGACTGGTCAGGCCAAGAACGGCAGGGCGTGAGGTTTCAAAAAGTGACATCCGACCGTCGGAACCGGGCCGGCTCTTATCTGGTGCTAATTACTATAGACTCTGGACTTCTCCGCATCCCACATTAAGAGGGGTGATTCTCGCCTCCAAGGGCGGATTTCTTTCCCTTTGGCTCTCTCGCGATCTTCTTCAATTTGTTGGTCAATTGGGAAAGAGTAGATACTGCAGCGAAGACCTTGGTTTGAGGAAGACATGGCGCTCCCTCAAAAGATCCTTATCGTGGGTGGAGGTGTATTTGGCTGTGAGTCCTTCGATTTTGCTTGGACTATTGCAATTGTTACCTGAAAATAGAAGATGAAATGATATTCCCTGATCATGACAAAGGAGTCGATTAATATTCATCGTTCCTATTTTGATTTGTGTGACTGCTATATTCCCTTCGTCAATTGCATTCCGTGACCCTGACACATCGGGAACTGACCGCATATAGTGTCGACCGCCCTATCGTTGTCGCAACGATTCCAAGACTGTCAAATAACCCTGCTGGAACAATCCCCTACGATTCCTAACCCGCATGGCTCCTCCGTCGACAGTTCACGAATCATCCGCGCCGATTATTCACACCCCGTCTACGCGAAACTCGCTGCTGCCGCCATTGACCACTGGCGCAACACCGAATGGGGAAAGGAAGGTCGCTACACGCAGAACGGTCTGATGCTCGTCTGGACGCCTGGCAGTGAGAAGGCGAAAAACTATGCGACCAAGAGCTACTACAATGTCAAGCAGTTGGAGGGCGACAAGGTCGAACTACTCCCGTCGGCAGCTGATGTGATGCGGATCGTGCCAGAATATGGCAAGGAGTTGAATGTAGCGGGGGGATACATCAACTGGGGCTCGGGCTGGGCAGACGCCGCAGCAGGCGTGCGATTCGCAAAGAAGCTTCTGGACGAACAGGGAAAGGTGGTCTTCAAAACCGGCGAGGTCGACAGGCTCCTGCTTGCCGATAGCCAGAGCGCCACCTCCCAGCGCAGAGTCACCGGTGTCGTCTTGACGGACGGCACAACACTCACGGCCGATCTTGTCGTCCTCGCCACAGGCGCCTGGACAGGTAAGCTTGTCGACCTCCGCGGCAGGGCCATCTCAACCGGCCAAGCACTGGCATACCTGCGCATCTCAGACGAGGAACAGCGCCGACTAGAGAACATCCCCACCGTCCTCAATTTCGCCAACGGCATCTTCATAATCCCGCCTCGAAATAACCTCCTCAAGATCGCCCGCCACGCCTACGGCTACCAGAACCCCAAGGCGGTCCCCATCCCCGGCGGCAACGGCGTCACTATGCAAGTCAGTCTGCCGGAGAACGGCGTCCCGGTCCCTCTGGAGGGCCAGGAAGCCTTCAGAACAGCGCTCAAGGAGCTACTTCCCAGCTTCGCGGAGCGTGAGTTCGTCACAACCCGCGTGTGCTGGTACACCGACACGTAAGGAACCACTTTCTTTACCATCTCCAAAATTATGTGACGGCTAACACAAGGAAACTGTATCCAGACCCACCGGCGACTTCATCGTCGACTACCATCCCGACTACGCAGGCTTGTTCCTCGCAACTGGCGGCAGCGGTCACGCATACAAGTTCTTCCCTGTTCTGGGCGACAAAGTCGTTGACGCGATCGAAGGAAAGCTCGAGCCTGAGCTGCGCAATCTGTGGAAGTGGCCGGTCAAGGTCGACCAGAGCGCGTTCGAAGGCGACGGGAGCAGATCCGGGGAGCAGGGGCTCCTCCTGATGGAGCAGTTGGCTAAGAGTACGAAAGCTCCCAGGAAGAGTGTTTTATGATAGCTCTTTCGTCCTGTACATAAGCTATACCACCGTATATGTAAGAATAGATCAGTAGATGATTGATCCATCGTCCTGGCATATCTCGTTCAAGAAGCAGTAATCTGAGAGGGCAACGAAAAGGGGGACATCCTGATACTACCTAGTAACACCATTTCTGTGGAGAAAGGGTATCTACCATCGAATAAGCCCCCTAGAAGGTTCACAGTTTGAGAGCTGTACGGGGACTATGATTATTAGGAGAAACTCTTTACACATTTTTATACTACTCTTGAAAGTAAGGAATAAAAGTATTGACTACCTCTTCATTTCATTCCTAAGAATGGCGTAGTCTAATCGAGTGCGGCATCATTTTCTTTTCGTCCATATCCCACGAGCTCATAAAACAGAGAGCAACCTCATACTGGACAAAGCCAGGGAGGGTCCAAGCCAATAGGCGAAGAACACGACCACATATTAGAAAGGAGGCAACCATTCGACCAGCGCACAGTACCGCCCCCCGAGTCCGCGGATTGTGCTACTATCTAATTGTAAACATTTGCAATATTTGGTGAAACAGGGAACAACGACCATGGGGCAGAAGGGTCCGAATCGCTAGAACGCCGTACAAATGCTAGCATGAAAATCATCATAAGCGAGGTCTCAGCAAAAGGGACTGAAAAGACCACCCATCCCTATGAACCTCTCAAAAGGAAAAAAAGAAGTGTTAATACAGGTGGGAATGTGTGAAGGATATGAAGTGGGTGATCTTCATCTGCTGACCGATATGCCGCGAGAGGCTCTTAGACCTTGCGGAAATCTGATCGAATCGTTAGCATATAGTTCTGCTTCAAAGAGAAAAAAAAAATAACCATACCAGAAAGCACAGGATAGATCAGTTCGAACGCCTGATAGATCTCTTCACGGACTTTGGCGCCGGTCAAAACGATCTTTCCACTGACGAAAATCAAGAGGACGATCTTGGGCTTCATCATACGATAGATGAGACCAGGGAAAAGCTCAGGTTCGTAAGAACTGAAGTTGTGATGGCGACTAGCAAGACCCTCCAGGCGAATAGGGAACTTGATGTCACAGGAGCCGACGATGTTCTGGATCTTGAAGTCGGTGAACTTGGCATTGAAGCCCAGTTTCTGGATGATACGCGCGTACTTTCTGGATGCGAGCTTGGAATCGTCTTCGGACTTCGCACCAGTAACGACCATCTTGCCGGAGGCGAAGATCAGTGCGGTAGTTTTCGGTTCCCGGATACGCATGATCACGGCCGCGAAACGCTATTATAAAAGCAGTTCAGCCCACACTGTACCCTGATATGACCAGCTCAGGGAGGTGTGGAAGTTAATACCTTTGGGTTGTACTCTGCATTTCGCGCGTGAAGCGCGATAGTCTTCAAATCCAAGCGGCAGTCAAGGTTGACAGTAGCAACGATGTTTCTTGAAGAGAAAATCCTTGTTCAGCATTCTGGTGATCCAGAAAAACAGCAAGAGTATACTCACTGCAAGGTAGGCACGATACCACTTCCCGGAGCATTGGCACCAGGAGTCGCAGCGGGAGTAGTGGGCGTCACCCCATTGCCGTTGACGGCATTTCCTCCCTGCTGATGGCCGTTCACAGTTCCATTCGCACCCTGAGCGCCAATCGCCATGTTTCCTTCTTTTTCAGAAGACGGAGGTGTCAAATCACCGGCACCACCGGGAAAGGACAGAGAAGCGGGGGAAGTGAAGGCCCGGGCCTGCTGCGCGGTAGAAGGATGGGTCGTGAGAGATTCCATTGCGACGTGAGCAAGAGAAATACTCGAGCTGTAGACCAGCCGAAACTGAAGTAGATATGCGAGGTAAAGTCGCGAGCCAAAGAGCTTGTAGACGGCAGTCTATCCTCTCAGAAGACCGAGTCAGTCAAAAGCCAAAGAGATAGATGTTCACAAGAATTCATGCCACAATATGGACAGGGGGGCGAGGGAGGTGGGAGGAGATAAATCAGAAATGAGGTGGCGAAGAAGATATGGGAATGGTGGGTGACGATGTGTTGTAACAGTGAATATTTTTGTAGGCGCAGGAGGAGGAAAAAAAAGTGAGCCTCACCCTTTGTGGGAGATGAACAACTCAATGTCTCCCCTACAGCAATGCTGCCTTAGCTCAACTCAAGCTCGAAGTGAGGAGTCGATAGACGAACAGCAGCAAGATAGGTCTGGTGGAGATGACAAGAGGCAAAACCAACCAGAGGAAAGCTCAACACCAGCGAGATGATGAGATACTAGAAAAGCACAATCAAGTGTTTCCTAGTCACACTTATGCAGTAGCACAAAACAAGTGCAAGTGAGAGAATGGACAGTGACAGAAGCACGTGAAAGAGCAAAGCTTTTCTTCAGGTCAAGCAAACAACTTTTTTTTTTCTTGGTTTTGGTTTCCCTTTTGGGTATTGGAGATGTCTATCTGCGTTCTTGAAAGAGAGTGGCGAAGATGCACACCTGAGGCTGCAAACTTCGTGTTTCAGTGATGTTACTGAAACTGCGCGGAAGAAATTTTTCCTTTCTTCTGAGCCGTCTTATTAGGCTTCTTCCCGGAATTCTTCAGGCCAAAGAAGCAGAGAATACTATGCTGAAAATAGCGGAACTCTGCGACTCTATACGAGTGTGGAGAGAGAGGGGAGGGAGGAGAGGTTGGTCGTCGGGAAGAAGGCGACTGGAAGATTAGTTTCGGCGTTCCGGGCGGTGCCAAGACCAGGGTCAAAATTCCAAGAGCAACAGGAAAGTGGGAGGTTGGGCCTTTATATAGGCTGACTCACAGCGCCCGAGAGTGCTGGCGTCAGGGGAGGCTGGGCCGGGCGGTGGCGGCAAAAGCAGCGATGGAGGTCGTTTCCATCCATGGGTTTGGCTGCTTTGGGGCATCTGTTTGTGACTTAGCGTTCCACTAGCGCCTTCCGGGGTGGCCAAATCCTCGAGACTGAGTGGCTTCTCTCTCCTTCATCCCAGCAAGCGCCATTCTGCCATTTCTGGTTGGTTGAATGTGAGACCCATCAAGCACATTTTCTTTGGAAGCCCCACCACGCTGTACACGCTCTGTTTGGCTGTTCATCAGACATCCCTTTCACCATGGTTGCAGCCACTGGCTGTTGCCCAGTCCGCGTCGCTCCTGCAACTGCTCGTCAGACCCACTGCATCCATTCATCCATACCTGCTCAACAAATAAGAATGCATGTCGCTCTCTGTGGGTTTCCCTCGCGACGCGCCTCCTGTCGTGCCGCTTTAGCGGATGGCAAATGAACAAAAGTCTTTTCTTTTCGCACTGGTCGTCATTTTGGTACGAGTGTTCCGTCCATGATTTCCTACCTGTCCTTCCTTGTTTACGAGGTTGTTGACCTGTCTACTCCGGATGATGGTGGCTTGACCCAACAATCGGACTTCAAAGTACTTTCCATTGCTGAAGTTTGAGCTGAGATGGATCGAAAGTAAAAAAAGGACGAGCCTTCTAACCACTAGCCCTTGAGCAGTTGACAGGTCCTGGCGGTTCGTGAGGTGTTTCATGGTTTATTCCCCTCCAGACTGGAGCCTGGACGCGGACTTATCTATCCCCAGATATCACGAGTCACGATTCGTGATCCACCAGCTTGACTAAATTAAGGCTCTTCTGCCTTGGTCCGATCGTCCTTCTCCTACTCCGGACTTAATATCAATAGAAGTTAAATGATGAAATCACATTAATGAGCAAGTCTCCGTGGAGAACTCGGTAATTGAACATCAACTGATTTCCTTATTTTCCCTCTGTCAAATCAAGCCTAGATAATACATGGACGCTACGGAAGTTGTTGACATTATCCAATATATCAGATCAGTATCGGTATACAGGCTTGTGCTGACCTGCGTATAAGCCAAGACACGGGGTGTATGAACTTAGGCCGTGATGTTATACGGTCGGCGACCCCGTATTTCTACCATCCTAATCAACATCTCAAGTGCGGAGTGAGAAGGTATCATCTGGGCCTATCCTGTTCTGCTTCTCATCTTCATTATCCGAATCTTCTCTTCAGCCACGTGTAGAACCTTACATGATATCGGAGGATAGTACGGAGTAAAGTAGTCTGTACATACCTTCTCCTCCCGAAAGGTAAATGGTCAGATGCTTGTCATTCGGACATGTTCAGCCTCATGCGTCTTTCATGTGATTCCTTCGCAGAGCCTCGTGTTGCCTGGGAACCGGCACTAAGAAGCGAGTTTAGGTAATTTGCTCTGTAGAGAGGGACGCACGTCATGAACCATCTTCAAACCATCAGTTTCATACTGCGTGAGCAAACGAAGCTCTTCACCTACGTAGTGTTCATGTCCACTGTTTGATTCGGCTTCCGACGGAATGAACAGTTTACCAGCGGAAAGACGAGGAGGGATGAGGATGATTCCCATCGCCGAAATTCCCATTGGCTGAGCTTACCTCGGGTACTGCCAACTTGAATGTCCACCGCCAAATTCGGCCATCCCACGAAAGTCCCACCATAGCCTTTAAGTCATACTCGGGTTGTTCACAGGGCATCTTCTGTGATTAATATCTTCTCCGAGATTTTCTTCTTGGAAAGGCTAAATTACCATGTCTGGTCATTGTCTGTAAACTTCAGAGGTACTGAAAGTGGCAGTTTGAATTTCCTGTTGCAATTTTCTCCGATATCGCAATGGCTTCAAAAGGAGCCGTCTTGCCTATCTTGAGGCGCGAGTTGCAAACCAATCGCGCACAACTGAATAGAGCCGCTTCATCCTTTTCGACTGTTGCTACGGCTGTTCGGAATAGGAGAGCAGTGTCCGCTAGGCACTCGGCCCGCCACACCGCGCTTTTCTCTCAGAGACAACTACTCGGTCAAACTCGGGCATTTTCGCAGTCGCTTTCGACAAGGTTTGCAGATGACCATGATCAGTTCGATCCCCGTCAAGTAGAAAGGGAGTCGGATGAGGTGGACGTTTGCATTGTTGGTGGCGGTAAGAGCTTTCGTGGTTGCCAGCTATTCGTGGCTACTCAGCGGTTTGATGGCTGACTCGATCTCTTCACCATCGCAGGTCCTGCCGGTCTCGCGGCAGCTATCCGACTAAAGCAACTCGCAAACGAGGCTGGAAACGAGGAGTTCCGTGTGATTTTGCTGGAAAAAGCGGGAGAGCTGGGCGCGCATATACTTTCAGGCAATGTTCTCCAACCAACTGCAATGAATGAGCTTCTGCCCGATTGGTTGTCTGAGGAGAATCCATCACGATTTGAGGGCGCAACACCAGCGCGGGAGGACAAGATGCGCTTTTTGACCAAGAACTCGTCGTTCCCGATTCCCGCCCCACCCCAAATGAACAATCATGGCAACTACATTGTCAGTCTGAACGAGCTGACGAAGTGGTTGGGTGAGCGAGCTGAGGAATTGGGTGTCGAGATTTACCCTGGATTTGCTGCTAGCGAGTTGGTCTACAATTCGGATGGCTCCGTCCTCGGCGTTGCGACGAACGATCTTGGTGTTGGTCGGGACGGCAAGCCCAAGGACAATTTTGAGCGGGGTATGGAGTTCCATGCTCGTGTCACTCTACTCGCCGAGGGCTGCCATGGTAGTTTAACGAAGCAGGTGATCAAGAAGTACGACCTCAGACGCGATAGTCAACCCCAGACTTACGGTATCGGGTTGAAGGAAGTGTGGGAGATTCAACCGGAAAAGTTCAAGTCGGGAGAAATCGTGCATTCTATGGGATACCCGCTTCCTTCGGACACCTACGGTGGTGCCTGGATGTACCATTTTGGAGAGAACTTGGTCAGCATTGGGTTGGTGGTTGGTTTGGACTATCCTAACCCGTGGCTTTCACCTTACGGAGAGTTCCAGAAGCTCAAGCACCACCCCTTGTTCAGGGAGGTTTTGGAGGGTGGCAAATGCATCTCCTATGGTGCTAGGGCACTCAACGAGGGTGGCTTCCAGTCGATTCCTAAATGTGCTTTCCCAGGAGGCGCTCTTATCGGTGACACTGCTGGCTTCTTGAACGTTCCCAAAATCAAGGGCACTCATTCGGCTATGAAATCGGGCATGTTGGCAGCGGAGGCTACCTTCAATGCTTTGCAGAATGACAACGACGGTACTGTCTTCCTTTTCGAATACGAGGATGCTCTCCGAAAGTCCTCGATCTGGAAGGAGTTGTACGAAGTGCGCAATATGCGGCCCTCCTTCAAATCGCCGCTCGGTCTCTACGGCGGTATCCTCTACTCCGGCTTAGAAGCCTTCTTGTTCCGCGGTAAAACACCCTGGACACTCAAGCACCACGGTACAGATGCAGCATCCACCAAATCGGCATCTGAATGTAGAAAGATCGAATACCCCAAACCTGACGGCGTAATCAGCTTCGATATCCTGACCAGTGTGAGCCGAACCGGAACGAACCACGAGGAGGACCAGCCTGTCCATTTGCAGGTCGCTGATTGGGACAAGCATACGGACATCGCTTGGCCGAAGTACCAAGGCGTTGAAAACAGATTCTGTCCTGCTGGCGTCTACGAGTACGTCGAGGATCCAACCAAGCAGCACGGCGTTCGCTTCCAAATCAATGCCCAAAAGTAAGTCTTGGCTCTACGCGCATTTTTCTTTTTCCTCATGCAGATGCTAACCACGCACAGCTGTATCCACTGCAAGACGTGTGATATCAAGGTACCGACGCAGGATATCAATTGGCAAACACCCCAGGGCGGAGAAGGCCCTAAATACTTTAAGACATAAGCTCATACCCACTGTAATTTTTCTTTCATTTTCTTCGTCTTCACCTGTTTCTGTGTCATTTAAAATGGATATTTCGAGCTCATCCTCCGCGGACTTCCGCCGATCAATTTTACGGGTTAGAGCATCCTTTCCCTCTGTTGACATCTTGTTTCTACTGACAAGTTTCTCTCTTGGGTTATGTTTGTACTATACAAAAGGATATACAAAACTCAGCGTACATGAAATGTACAGGTTGGTTAGATATACAAGTATCAACAGTCTCGCATTCCCACACTGCATACGGAGTAGAAATTTTACGTATCTCTCTCTCTCGACAAATTCTCACTTAGCAGCAGCACGATATGAGAACTTCCGAGACCCAGATTGATCTTTGACGCTGAAGTTGAGCCCCGCGGGGAGTGGCGAGCTGAACCATGGAAATAGCCGTGATGTTTCCAGTGATGGCAGACCATGGATCTGGCAGAAATTATAGCTAGTACCTAGGTTCTCAGATAATACCCTCCTATCTGCCGCTATGTTCACAACATTTGCTTTCCGTCGAGTTTTGATCGGTTTCGTCAAGCAGAACAGATTGGACTTTACAATTCTAGTGAGTATTTTTAAGTGAGGCTGTCAAGAGTTCTCAAGGCAATTCGGGCGGAGCCACGTGGATCATCAAAGTGAGGCGGGCCGGCCACTTCTTATTGATCGATTATTGCTCGCATTGTTTCGTCCATCGTTAGAAGAGAGAAAACTGACTGGAAGAAACACAGCCCTGCCCACCCCAGAACCACCTAGTTTACTGATTGGCGGACAATTTACTTAGCTAGGGAAAGACTGGATAGACTGTTGGTGATCGCAGGTACGTACCTCTCTAGTCCTCTCGGTCTGGCGGTCAAACCGACCTCCACCCTCGTCTCGACTCTCTTTCTCCTTCAACCTCGCAGTTTTCGCTCTCATCCATCCTCTCAACTACCTCTCTTTCATCTCACTGTTTTTTCTCACCGGATATATTGACCTGATTATATCTAGCAGCTACTCCGTCCTTCCAACCTGGTCCGGTTTCCGCTTTCCAGCCCGTCGTACGAGCCACATCTGGAGATTCTGCCCTTCCACTGCGCGGGATAACAGGAATACACTGCCATACTAATCTCAGGAACGCGACTATCTGAACCCAGGACTCCTGATATTCCGCTCGTCTCCTTTCTGACCTGGATCGTTTTGGCCACCACAAGTCCAACGGAAGTCAGAATCGTTCTGCTGTCTAACCGCCATGACTGAGGTTTCCTCCACCCGACTTTATCTCGGGAATCTTCCCCGCAACGGTATGCAGGCCTTCATCAAATCTATCCTTTCCTAGGAGATATCCCCGTCTGTTTCAACCTGGATTCTGTATACCGTCAGCTCGCGCCTTCCAAATCCACTAGGAGAGACCCTTTTGGACCACCTGGTCTTCCCATAACCCTCATGGGTCTCCGAACTGTTTCCTGGGATCTTCGTTTGTCCTTGGACATGGGGATATGAGGGCGAACAAGCATCTCCCTCATCCTGAATCTCCATATTTCCCGGCCTGCAGCACCCCAACGATTACGGATATAGCTTTCTTTTGGCAGTTTAACCTTGTGCATTTTAGACTGCTTGTTACTTGTGTTGCGATGAGCTGACTTTTGCCGATGGCGCCCGTGGTGGCGTCGTTGTTGCTTTTATTCAGTGACCAAACAGGACATCGAGGAACACTTTAGTAGCCATGGCTCCGGGAAGATCACAGAGATCAAGTTGATGAACGGATTCGGGTTCATCGAGTACGAGGATGCGATGGATGCTAGAGATGTCGTTCCTGGTAAGATTTCCCTGAGCAGCCCTGCCTTCACTTCGGACAGGATCACCTGGCTGACAATCCACCATCTAGCATTTCGTAAGTTGTCGATGCAGATGATTGACGTATCTGCTTGACTGATCTATAAACAGACGGTAGCGACTTCAAAGGCGAGCGACTTACAGTCCAGTTTGCGCGTGGACCACGCCGCAAAGAAAATTTCCCTGGCCCCCCGGATCGCCCTAACATGCCTCGTCCCCGTCGTACGATTTTCCGCATGTTGGTTTCTGGTCTCCCGGAAACAAGCTGGCAGGTTAGCAGACCATCTCTCCTTCTATTTTGGACCTCCTGGATACCACGCAACCTGGCCACCCAGCGTTACATGAGCCTTCTATTTTCCCAATCTCTGTACTTCGGCTTCCAGGAACTCGAGCCCAGGATCCATGAGGCCCAAAGTCAATATCGATATTTCAAGCTCATAGAACCTGTTTGCTTGTGACATGGCCTCGGCATGTATCAAGAACATTCAGACGTCCCAGTCCCAGTCGCAATCCGGATGTCCACAGTTTCCTTTTTCTATGGATGACAGTGTGACCACCGCGGACTTAAAGCTTTGGAGCCCTTGGATCGACATGTGACCTGTTCCTCTTCCGTCCCTGCAATGATTCGTGTCTCTTTTGTTTTTGTTCACCTTCTCCTGGCATTCTTGCATTACCGGGGTTTGACTGGGGTCTACACTCATTTGGGAGCCAATTCTTACCGCTGGATCATATAGGACCTGAAAGATTTTGCACGTCAATCTGGTCTGGACGTTGTCTACTCGGAGACTGGCCGCGAACAAGGAAGAGGGTGGGTGAAGCTTGAAATGTCACGGATGATAATTTTCCAATCGTTAACACAGAACCAAGGTTCGTTGAATTCGAGACTGCAGCTGACCTGAAAACTGCCATCGATAAGCTTGATGGACGAGAGTTCAAGGGCTCCCGAGTGAGCTGTGTCGCCGATGTAAGGACCTCGCCAGGACATGTCATACGAACCAGGATTCTTAATTGTTTGCTTCCAGATTCAACCTCACGACGACCGCATTTTCCGTGATCCATATCGGTCCCGCTCACCCCGCCGCAGTTATCCTCCTATCGATGAGTACGACAGGAGATTCCCCGCGCCTCGCGGTTACAGCCCCCGCGCCCATTACAGGGAACGCTCACCTGTTCCGCTCCGCCGCGACTATTATGAACGTGACGGCTACGGCCGTCGCACCCCTCCTCGACCTCGGATTGAAGACTATCCCCCTCCTCGTCGTCCTTACGATGACCCCTATGATGCCCGGCCTCCACCACCTCCCCGTCACTATGATGACCCATACATGGCACCGAGACCCTACGGACGTCCTCGGACTCCTCCAAGAGGCGACTATCCACCTTATGACCGCCGTGGATACTGGTAGGATCTAATTTTCTGCTCCGATTGTGTTGCATACATGGCGGATACCCATTCAGTCTCGCTTCGTTTGTTCCATGACTTTCTACATAATTGTTTCCTTTTACTGGGATGCCCGCACCTTTACCAAAGCATTCGATCACCTGGGACCGAATCGCAAAACATACCATACGGATCTCAAGATGAAGTGACTTTCCTACATCCGTGTTGAGGGGTGAAATTCCGGATACGGTGTGACTACAATCTCTTGCTTGCAGGTCCAGGATGGAGCTCTATTCCGGGGATTGGGCATTCGACAGGTGCATGATTGCAGGACTTTACGACTTTCCTTGGCTAATCACAAATCTTCCCAAGGCTTCTGGCTGCTAATGATACTGGCAATATCAACTGAAACCCCATGCCCGTTTCTGTGTTTGTGAAGGGATCTTACTGGACTTTTCGACGATCGGGTCCTTGAAAAACCCCGTACCGGCCGTTTCTCCTGGGGAAGAGCTTACTTGTAAATTTGAACTAACTAATCCTTTACATCTATACTGGTCGTTTTCATGCTATTTTGATTTGAAAGACCCGTACACAAGTGTGCGCACAGGGCTAATTAACGTAGCCCGACATCCTAGCCCGGACAATGCTTGATTGATGGTATGTCAAAGACTCGGAAGAGAAGGACTTAGATAACTCCCCCATAGGTGGAGTCTTTACTGGACTCCTTGGGTGACAGCGATATGGAGGTAATGGAGTGTGGGGAGCTGGATGCCACTGAACAAGCTCACCAAAGCTTGACACTTAGGAGTTGCCGTTCGCATGATTTCAATCAAGGTCGCCTTGGAGCTTAACAAACGATCATGCAAAGAGCCAATAGGGAAATATTTTCCCAAAATCCATCCTAAGCGCTATTAGAGTTGTGTCGAAGTATCATCATTCTTCGTCATGGGGTCTCGCCGCGCTACTAGAGGCGGAGCAACCCCGCTATCTTCATTGTCAAGAGTCAGGACTTCGGTTTTCTTTTTCAGACTCGCTCAATAGCTTCCTAAAAATATTGCGTGGAATGATCTGAGAGCTTTATTTATTTATCTGTCCCTTTTTTTTTTTTTTTTTTTTTTTTTTTTT